CTTCTCCTTCTCCTTCTTCTGCTTCTCCTTCTTCTTCTTCTCCTTCTCCTTCTTCTTCTTCTTCTTCTTCTTCTTCTTTTGCTGCTGCTGCTGCTGCTGCTGCTGCTGGTGCGGCCTGCGGAGGAGGGCCCTGTTCGATGCGTTAAGGGCGTCTGCCAATATTGGTGCACCGTACAAGGCCATACTTCGGACGACCGTGGTATACAGCAGCCTTGCATGTACACCCGGACCTCTCAGGTTAGGGAGGAGCCTCGCAAGGACTGAGGCCGCGCCCACGAGCCGGGGGGTCAGCGCTGGGAAATGGTCCCCGAAACGCCAACCCCCGTCGAGGACAAGACCCAGATATTTTATCCGGGCCTTGACCCCGATCTCGTCGCCGTTGACCCGGAGAGTGGCCCTCGCCGGTACCCTCCACTTCGGCCCTTTTAAGCAGAGGGCCTCGGTTTTACTGAGGGCCACTCGGAGGCCTAGCGCCTCGATCCTCCGGGTCAACAGGGTGACTCCGGCCTCAGCCCTTCGCCTACCTCTCTGCCAGGTGGTGTCCCGGATAGCGGTCATCCGCATAGCAGATGACCGCCATCCGGGACAGCACCTCTCCGCGGATGGCCCAATCGTATCCGATGTTCCAGAGCAGGGGTCCTAATACAGACCCCTGGGGAACACCGGATGCCATCCGCCTCTCTTGGCGGCCCTCTCTCCCCATGTAGGACACTACCCGCCCTACAACTCTCCGCAGGTAGAGGGGCACTCCATGGTACCGGAGCGCCTCCTCTATTACAGAGAACGGGAGGGAGCCGAAGGCGTTAGCGATGTCTAATGACACCGCTATGGCTCCCTGCCCCCTCTGGGCCGCTTCCTCGGTGAACCTCTTCAGGGCGGCCAGGGCGTCCATTGTGGATCGTCCCGACCGGAACCCGAATTGGTTCACGGAGAGCTGCGGCCCGTCCCTCGCTAGGTGCTGGATGATTCGGGAAGCCAGCACACGTTCCAGTAGCTTCCCGACCTCATCCAGCATCACCAGCGGGCGTTATCCTGCCGGAGAGTCCGCGGGGCGGCCGTCTTTCCTAATAAGCACCAGCCACCCCTCCTTCCACACCTCAGGGAAACGCCCCGCTGCCAGGCAGTCATTGAAAAGGCAGCGTAGGCGATCCCCGAGGTGTTTTAGTGCGGTGGGGAGAATCCTCTCGGGCACGCCGTCCGGTCCCGGGGCTTTCCGGGGTCCTTGGAGCCGGCGAGCCGCCCATACCATTTCCTCCTCTGTTATAAGAGGAGGGTCTAGGGTGGCATCGTCCTCATCTTGGGCACTTGACGGTGCCATGCGCGGTGGTTCGAATGGGGGGCTGTTAGGAAATAGCCCCTCGACCACCGCGCTGAGGACGGTCGGCTCCATGGCCTCCGTGGGGGGCGCCGCCTTTAGTTTAGCCCGTACCATTCGGTACGGGCGCCCCCACGGGTCCGCGTCCAGGACCGCCCAGAACTCGGCGTATGCGGCGTCCTTGCCGTGCTTACCCTGCTGATCAATTATTTACCGTAACTTGAATGCGTTGCTTCGAATTACGTCTAATTTGAAATACTTGCTAAAAAAAAGAAAACATGCCTAATAAGAGGCGGCAGAATAGAAGTCGGTCGCGAAATCGCATTCTAGCCAACATGATTCGCGCTACTGACGGCGTAGCCCTTCTAGCAATATTTTAACCGAAACAATTCAACAAATTTTGAATAGATTGGTGTCATTAGAGGAACAACAGGTAGTGTCTTCATCTCATCGGAAGGAGTCAAGTGGCCGCGCCGCAATGGAAGTGGCCAGGTCCGCGGTGCCTGTGACAACCATCAGCACCGAGCCCGTTCCTCCCGTTGAGCCTGCCGTGTCGATGCCGCCGCCGTCGCAGTTGGGCGAAGCTGTCACTGCGAGCTCGCTTCAAGGGCGCGCAGAGCGGTTGGCTTCAACTACTCCGTCCTCACCGGAGCGTCCCGCGAGCGCTACGTCAGTCCAGGCCAGCGCCGCCGATCGCATCATCGATGCGATACGATCCATAAATATACCGGTGAGATCTAACCAGTCTTATTATATTTCTAATTTTCCGTCTTATTATGTTTCTAATATCCGAGTGTTAATGACATATAGACATGGTGTGAAGAAGTAGACCGTGCTAGGTCATCTAATAATTGGAGTGATCACGAATGTCTTTCTCGCATTGGCAATTGTTTACAAGGAGATGCTAAAACGTGGCTCAGTGAATGGGTAACGAATGACCGCAGTTGGAATAATTTTAAAAACGAATTTAAGCCTTTATGTCCAAAAAAAACCAGACATAGCCAACATTCTATACGAGGTTATGAGCACCAATTCGGATAGCTTCCTTACATACGCTGATTATGCTCATAGGTCCCTTTTAGGATTACGTATCATTAGGGGGTTAAGCGATGAGCTGATATCGCCAATAGTTATACGGGGCATCATAGATCCGCAGATCCGCCCATCTGCTACCAACGCCAAATTAATGCCAAATAAGTTAGTAGAGTTCCTTTCTATTTATGTCAATTCTAATGCCCCTCATTCTAACAAAAACTCAAGTGGGTTGCGTCATGATCGTTCGTTTAACAATAGACATGGGATTTACGATCGCAAACGGCGGTTCGAGTCCGGTAAATGTTTTATATGTGGTAAGCAAGGGCATAAACCTGGTTATTTCCAGACCCAATTTTATGATTATTTGCTAAACATTTCATTAGTTAATAAAATACGTAAATAATTGCTCCATTTAAATGCTTTAATGGATTTAAATATTAATTTAAATCTCAAATGTTAATAATTTTTTTAAGCAATTACTCAATAACTTGTTAATTTTTTGACTACGTAATATTATACGTAACGCAATAATGATACAACGAAAAACGTATTCTAAGTATAAAAAATTGTTTATATTATTATTAATAGCATATTTTAAAAATAATTTGATTTTTTAAGTTAGAACAATTTAGTTTTTAAACTATATAACATGATAAATAAGTTGCTATATTTTATTTTTTAATACAAATTTAAGGTGCCCTAAATGAAATTAATGATCTGTCACAAATTTAACTGCCATAAATCTACCAAATGTGTAAAATTTACAAGTCTTTTTCAGTAGCTTTCTTTTATATTGAAAACATCAATGATACATCATGAAGTTACATCAATGATACTGATAGTCTATGGTTTAGTGGCGCCAGCAGAGGGTGTTTTATTGGTGAGGTTAGCCTCGATTATTATGAAATAAATATTTATAATTAAACATATCGGTAAAATTATAAAAAAAATGATGTTAAATACAGTCAAAAATTCTAATACGATATTTATATACCATATTAGTAGTGCTATTCATTCATATTTATAGATAATTTTAGGGACGCGTTGGTTGACTTTTGATTAGTTGTAAATATAAAACTTGCAAATTAACTTTTTTCTTATAAACTTAAACTTCTAGCAGAGATTGACATGTATTCAATTTTAGACAAAAGTTTTTATTAGGACCTGAACCTATTTTTAGCTAATGTAACCTCTTATTTAGGCGGGAAAATGGCTGCGGCAAGGGGCCTGAGGACGTTGCAAGTGGTAGCCCTTATATTTTTCGTGAGAATACTATCTGTTTTCTTTGTACAAACGTGGTATGTGCCAGATGAGTATTGGCAAAGTTTAGAAGTGGCACATAAGCAAGTGTTTGGATATGGAGCCTTGACTTGGGAATGGCAGAAAGGCATCAGAAGTTATCTGTATCCAAGTCTTTTCGCGACACTGTACGCTGTTCTTAAGTTTACTGGCCTGGATAGTCCGGAAGCAGTGGTACGTTTGTTTATATTTCTTCAGACACTACATTGCAAACATTACCTGAGATAAATCTGTGTGTAAAATTTATATAACTATTTTTAATCTTTTAGGTATTGATTCCACGGTTATTCCAAGCTGTTATCAGTACCGCAGCAGATTATAGCTTCTACAAATGGACAGGTGGACGTAAATGGGCTCTCTTTCTCATTCTCACACCTTCATTCTGGTTTTACACGTCTGGGAGGACTCTCCTGCAAACTATGGAAACTTGCTTAGTTGCTATTGCTTTATCAGTATATCCTTTCAAAGATGGTGCTCTGGCTCGTTATGAAAAAGGTAAATTTAATTAGAAATAAAATTATTGTTAGTCAGAACCATGGAAAGATAATCCCTGTAGTTTCCTTAAGCAGAACTGGTATTTGAGTTCATTAGTTGATTTAAATATTTTTAGTTATTCATAGTTTTCCACAACTCCACAACTTGTTGAATAATATATGATCTTTTGTTTTTTTACAGAAAATAATAAATGGGTCTGGCTTGCATGTATTTCAACATTTTTACGACCTACATCTGCACCTATTTGGTTTGTTCTGGCCCTTTATAATATTGCTACCACAAATCAAGGAAAACTGAGGTTATTGGCTGGTACATATTTACCAATTGGGTGAGTTGTAAATGTAATTTGAGTATGGGACTTCTACACTAAGGGACTATTTAAGTTTTGATTCCAAATGTATGTATTAAATTTTTTCAGACTGATGGTTGGCGGAGCACTGGTGGCTTTGGACACATATTTCTATGGAAAATTAATTATCACACCACTGGAGTTCTTCAAGTTTAATGTACTTCATAATGTTGCCTCATTCTATGGAACACACCCATGGTATGTGTTTAGTACTACTTAAATATGCACATAAAAGTAAACTGTATGTAAATCTTGTCAACCATTATAAGTTGCAGTATTATACATTTTATTCCTGCACATATCCGAGAAGAGTCAACGATATATATGAAGTCCACCCCCATTGGTCTAGCATGGTTGACTCATAGTCAGGCCTAACTTAGGGTAGGCTCCGATCCCCTCAGTGGCGATGTAGTGAGCTGATGATAATTAATATCCAACTATCCCAAAAATAAACCAAATTGAAAAATATGTTTTCTTATACAAATAAAATTTGTTTTTGATTGATCAGGAGAACTTACAAAAATAGTATCTTTCTCTTACTTTTCACAGTACATAATAGAAAAATCTGTACATTTTCAGGTATTGGTACATCACAATGGGCTTGCCAGCGGTATTGGGCATAAACACAATCCCAGTCGCATGGGCTATATATAATGTACTGCGGAGGAGACAGGAGAATAAGACTGGGATGTTACTATTGTTAGCAGCAGTGTTACACATTATTGTTCATAGGTATAGTTATAATCTGTTTTTTAACAATAAGAATTACTAAATTGTTAGTAGCCTATGTGAAATCCAGACTATGTTCTACATCTGTACTAAATTTAATCAACATGTATTTAGCCATTCCCTATATACTATTGAACAAACATCCATCCATCCATACATTCGCATTTATAATATTAGTAATTAGTAATATTTCACTACATATCCCATACAAAGAGACGAGGTACATCTCCTTTACCTTTATTGCAATTAAACTTATTAATATTTAATTTTTTTTTTCGTTTGCCATACAGAATTACAGCCTAATATTATATGCATAATTTTTTATGCCTTAGTCTTTTAATAATATTTTTTTTATTCCAGTTTCATACCACACAAAGAATTCAGATTTGTGCTACCACTTTTGCCGATTCTTTTATATTTGGCACAAAATGTCATCGTTCCATGGAGCAGGAAGGCTAAAGCGTAAGTTATCTTATATCCCTTTTACAGTACTATTCAAAAGTTTTCACAGGTTTATATCTGTTATATATAAATAATTAAATTCGCATACCAATAATAATCATACAAAAACTGTCACCATTTGACTTATAATTTAGTTACTTTGCTATGACAAATTTTCGACTCTATGGCGCGAATGTAAGCAGTTTTATAGGTCGGAGTCATCCCAGATGGACCTATACCGTCTAGATTTATTAACTACTCAAGCCATATTAAGAGAACCCGAAACCGACGTGCATGTATGCGTAGATTTGCGGATGTAGAAGTAAGATAGGTGTGGTTAAACCACTTGGCCGCGGATGAGAGCGAAAACGTGGCCCTGTCCCGATGCGTTGGAGGAACAGAGAGGTTTAGTGGGTATGCCTCCGATAAGGAGGAGAATCCCACATAACTACCGCATCCCCCCCGGGGCGCGGAGTATGCATAAAGCATTCCTCTCTGGGAAAAAAGGGTGTGGTTAAACCGCATCAAATGCAGGTCCGTGGTCTCTGCCTATCTGTCCGTGTTACGAGCGTGAGTTGTTCCATTGTGAGGATCAAATTACATTTAACCAAAGTATCAAGTGTATGAAACATCAAGTTTATATGATTTTTATACATGTATTTTTCTATAAGACCAAAGAATGTATGGATGGATTATGTGAATGAGGATATGCATAGGAAAGGAGTGATGTATGGAGTAGTATATACTGTAAACTGTATAGGATTTCTATATATTTTCCAGATGGAAGCTGTACTTAGTTGCAATAGTATTGTTATTGGGTAATGCCGTACCTGCTATATACTTGGGACAAACACATCAGAGAGGAACAATGCAAGTGATGCCGTTACTAAGAGAAGCTGTAGGCAATAACAACAGATCTTCTATATTGTTTATGATGCCTTGTCACTCTACACCATTGTACAGGTCAGTTTTTACAGTATTGTGATGTTGCATATATTTTTTTTAATGAAAGTTTGTGAAGAATCAAAAAGCTATGAAATTTGAAATTCATAAATCTGGAAAAAATTAAATATTTTAGTGGAGAACAGTTACTTAATAGGTGTTCCAGGACCATGCCAAATCAAATGCATTAACCCTTAACTCGAAGAAATTATTTGTAGCAAAAAAACTGTATTTTTTTTAGTAAAGTCATACTTACGTAATTTTCTCTAAACTAGTACACTAGATTTTTTTTAATTAGTTGTTCGTCACACTGGACACTATCAAATTAAGGGTTAAACACTAGATATTAGTGTAAACTTAATAGTAGCCTATGTATTCGTCTAGTGCATGTTCTACATCCATGGCAAATTTCACAGAAATCATTTTAGCCGTTCTAGAGATACCACCAAACAAACATCTATCCAAACATTCACATTTATAATATTAATAAGATTGTTCATAATTCCAGCCATCTCCACTTAAACATAACGACTCGTTACCTGCGTTGTGATCCTCCATCCCCTGGTGAGACATATGAATCTGAAGCTTTCTACAACAACCCTCAACGTTGGTGGAGACAGGAGTACAGTGCTCGTCAGACACCGAGTCTGATTGTGATGTTTGATGTGCTGAGAGGACGTGTGGAGAATTTACTACAAGGATACAAGTTAATACATGAAGTGCCTCATACACAAGTAAGTTTAGTGTCATCAGCTCACTATTCATCCCCACTGAGACACTCGGAGCCTACCCTAAGTTAGTGACAAGGCGATAGTCAACCACATCCCAGTGCGGGTTGACTTCACACATATCTTTAAAAATTTCTTGGCAGACGTGCAGCGTCACAATGTTTTCCTTCACCGTAAGTTTTGGCTAGTCAATTTCAAATGATAAGATACAGTTGAACCTGGATAAGCGAGAGTCCAACTGACCGTAACTTTTTTCGCCTTTAGTGGCTTCTCTCTTATCATTTAGGGTTCATAATTTTTTTAATTTTTTATTTTCTGTAAAATTTTGTGCATGTAAGGTCCTGTTTTCAAATAGTACATGATAGATAATAAAAAAATAGCTTTTTTCTGCGACTCCCTCCGCGCAATATTAAGAAAAATACTTAACCTATGTGTTCTTCCGGACTATGTTTTATGTCTATGCTAAATATCAGTGAGATCTGTTGTCATTCTGCAGATATGTATTAACAAACATCCATCCATCCATCTAATCTTTCGCATTTGTAATATTAGTAAGATATTAAAAGCTATAAGTATTTATAAGATACTTGGAGAAATAAATTGTATATTTTTCAACAGTACCCAGAAGGAGAAGTCGGGGAGAAAGTACTAGTGTTCCAGAAGAATTTACAAGTGAAACAAACTGATGAGGCCATTTAATATACATACAAACACGAATGACATATAGTTAAATGTTTTTATAAAAATATACACTATTAAAAATGTAATAAGATCTATTTTCGTGTAAAATTTTACAGTTGTTGTAAAAGTTTTGTTGCTAAGAAGTTGCAATATTATAATGAATGAGAATATAATTATAAAAGTCTTCCTAGTTTAATCTATTTTATATTTAGAAGCCATCTTTTATATGAATTAATATATTAAATAAAAATAGCGTAATATATTTTGCTATATGTAAGGGGGCGTCCATAAATAACGTGAAGTGTTTAAGGGGGGGGGGGAGTGGGGTCGAGTCACATCATAACAATCCAACGCGTTTACGCAAGAAACTAACATTTTGAAAAATCTCACGTGAGATTGGGGTGGGGGGAGGGGGTTGAATAAAATCTCACAACATCTCACCAGGGGGGGAGGAAGATGCAGAAAATTGAAAAAACACCTCAGGTAATTTATGGACGCCCCCTTATTAAAATTAAACGTATAATAATAATAATATATTTAATATCTACAATCAAATTAAAAATATTTATTACAAATTCTCTTATAATATATGACATTTTGATATTTAATGTAGATGAAATTATGTAATAATTAAGGACAGTAAATAAAAGTTATAAATAAAATTAACAACACAACTTCTTAACAACAATGATTGATTAAATAGATGGACTTTATATATAAAAAGTTTATTTTTTGACGATTGCAAGAACTAAAACAGATGTCAAAAACATTTTATGCAATAGCAAAATGGAAACAAAAAAAAAAGTTGTTTTTTTTTCACGAAATTACATTTAATGCATATAGTTCCGTCGAAATTTATACCCAAGATGTTCATAATTAACAATGTATTTACATGAAAAAAACTTGTTAATTGTAAGATTTTGTAAAATTGACTATATGGGAGTTTTTCCCCACGTAACAGTTTCTGTCTACCCCCTTATTGAATAGCTGTAATATATGTGTAAGGAAATGGTTTTTAACCTATTCACATCATTGAATTAGTGATGTTTTTGTACAAACTAGAGGTTTTAGTTTATAAAAAAAATCAGTTAAATTCTACTAAGAAATACTATTGATACGTTTTATTTCATTTTGACAAAGAAAATAAGAGAAAATACGTTATTTCATATAAATGGAAACTTACAGTACAAAAAATTATAACAAAAATTAAAAAAAAAATCGTTTTTTTTTTTTGGATGTGAATAGGTCTTTATGAGGTGTTAGTCGCAAATATATTACATTTGTGAAAAAATATCTTTGCCTCTTAGACTTTGAGGATGATTGTGTAATTTACCTTTATACATAGATATAAAACCTCTAGATAGGCCATTTCAAATAAATTCGACTAATCGAAATTAGAAATTAAAACAGGCAAAAATAGGCCTACGTAGGCCTTTTTTTTTCTCCTCACTTTTGTGGTTTGGATTATATTTATAGCTTTTATATTTTGTAGTTTACTAATTGTAGGATAATCCCAAAATGCCTCATGTTAAATATTTGTGTCTTAATACCATAAACGTAAAATTTTTCATATTTTGGAATATTTTTCGAATTTTTTTACTGAACTTAATCGAACAAAATTAAAGACAATAAATAAGAAATGTTAATGTTTGTGGTATTAAATGTTTTATTAATTTAATTTTTAAGTATTATTAAAGCATTTTTCATAATCCATGACTTAGAAACAGGATGAAGTACAATTTTACATCTTACTAGGAATTTCCGCTGTCGTAATATATTGCTAACCTTTTCAATCTCTTTGATAGAAAAGAGATAGCAATTGTGTTACGTCATTTGAAATTTTCATTAATTTAATAACATGCTTGCCAAAGTGTGAACTAACATTTGCAGGGAAATTTTCAGGGGTTGGAAACCTTCGGCAAAATATTAATTTTTTTAGTAAATATTTTTTTTTTGTCATAGATTTCTGTAATGGTATTGGGGTTTAAATATATGTAATTAATTATTTAAATTGTAAAAAAGAAGCCTAGATATTCTAGTAGATAGTAAGAGGTTTGCAACCCCTGTATCAGACGATTCTCAATATCTGCTACCACCGAACATTAATAACAGTAGATTTAGAGGGTTTTTTTGACTTTGTGTTATTGTAGTTTGTTCCAAAACAAGTTTAACGCGAGTTTCCACTGTCAGAACATTCATAAAAAACTCTGTTGTTCTCACTTATTGTTTCTGATCGAACTGACATTTTTGATGGTGGAAGCTCAATGTAATCAAATTTCTTATTTAGGTAATTATTTTAAAAAAGCGATGTTGGTTATCACCTACTCTATTACTTCGACATATAAGGAGTTCTTACTTGACCAGTAATAAACCATTGTAGACTTTGAAAATAATATGCAAAGGTTTAATTGCAATAGATTTCTTTATCAAGAACTATGTAAGTAATTTTTTCGTAATTGTTTTGGAACCACTGACATTTGTATTTTTTTTTTCAATCAATTTGGTTGTAATTCGTATTAATATAAGGATAACTTTAGTTTTATAATTACGCTGTAGTTTCAATTTGATTGCTTACTAAATAAAATGTTTTTTTTTTTTCGAATAGATTATAGTTTATTTATATTGGATTAATTCTAATATAATATTTAGAGACATATTTACAGTGTGTTGCTCAAGTTAGAAAGACAAGTATTGTAGGTTGTTGAAAATAAAAAAAAAAACGGAAATTTAAAAAATGTTCTGGAAACTGTAATTTCTTTCACGGTTGTCAACCCCTGACTTTTATATACGAGATAAAATTTTTCAACCTTAATTACTAATAGAATTTTTGGAATTGTATAAAAATTATTGAAAAATATTTTTATAAAGAGTATATAGCAAGCAAATTTCGTCGAGAAAATTAAAAAAAATATTTACAATCCATTACTTCTTTACAATACGCGTACTTGTTTAATCTATAAGATCTCATATTTGAGATGCCAAATATCATCTTTAGCCCCCGCCCTTTGCACATAATTTTGACTAATTACTTAGACTAAGATACGTTTTAGATAGTTAGTTGCTTGTATTGTTAAATATCTATCTTAAATATAAAAGCAAAACCTCAGAAAGTCACGATAATTGCATTTATTTCTGTATAATTCATGTCGTAAGGTGTCCTAAACATTTTTCTAAAAAAATCTACAAGAAATTGGGAACCAGTGAATATAATGTAATTACTACACATTAATGGGGATTGAAAGCAATAAATCGTAGATTTCTACTTTTAAGATATTATTAGTAAAAGAAAAAAAAACCTACGGCGCTATTTTGTTTTATCGATTTGGAATGCTCTGATATTTGATATATAGTTGTCTCTGTTTTGTCAAAGAGAAAGAAAGAGATGGCAGTATTTATTAATTCAAGTATCAAGACAGTTGTAATTCTACAGATAATAATAATTAGTATTGGAAATAGCGTTTTATGTTTTTTTTTTAAATCTTATGTGCAAAGGGCGCGTCTGTGGGATAGTTTGTAGAACAATATTGAGCAATTTTTTCTTAAATGTTTGTTGTCTTTTTATATAAAGAAATTAAAAGTGTGAATTTTTAATAAAGATTTTATTTTTAATAAAGGATTGAATATTGTTTGATTTTTATAATTAACATCTTAGTTATAGTGAAATACAGAAACTTCCCTAAACTATTTAGTCCACCTTTATCTAAATCCCTACCTAATAGCTGGCTTACGTTCGCGGAAGTGACAAATGTCACTGCAGTATACCCTTGTACTAATGGGCACGTTTGTTTTTAGTTTGCAAGATAACTTATTATACAGGATGTTCAAATTAGTTATTAGTTTATTGGTTTTTGTATTCTTGCATAGTTGCGATCGTTTTTTTGTTTATATAAACCGTAGCACTGTTTATTAAAACTATAATTTTTTTCTTAAAACTAACTAGTCGAAGTAACAAATTCAAACCTACATTTTTATAGAATCATTGAAATTTCCCTAGTAGTAAGTACCATTTCTATTGGGTAGTCAATGAATAATTTTTTTTTAATTTTTACACTAGCTGTCGCCAACGAATAAAAAATCTAATAAGTACCCTAAGTGTTTTTCCAAGACTATTTCCTACATCATCCTAGACATTCGGATTTATAATATTAGTAAGACTAACAATATTCAACATCCTGTATATTCCTAGTTTACTAACGCATAGATATATGAACCGCAAGTCCTTTTAACCCACATTGATTACACGGTCATAGGTTATGTTTGATAATAAAATATGCCAGTTTGTCTTAGTATTTCTTTGTTATAGTATTTATGCAGTTGTGTATAACATGAAAGAATTTATAATATTTTTATTATACGCAACGAATATACAATGTTTGGTATTAAATGTAAAAGATAAATCCGAGGATAAAGATGAAGGTAAAAGCAGTTTGGCATTCGTGTTTGACACAACTGGCTCAATGTCGAATGACCTTAAACAGTTACGAGAAGGTGCGGAAATGATTTTAAAAACTGCACTGGAAGAAAGCAATATTATAGCTGATTTTGTTTTTGTGCCGTTTCATGATCCCAGTAAGTACATTTTTTTTTAAATATTCTTTATTCATTTTAATAATTTACTTGAGTCCGTTACACATCTTTAGTTTTAATTTGAAAAGTCTGCAAGTTCATTTGAATTGTAAGTGTGTAGGTAAAGCTGAGAACTTCCGACAAATATTTTTGTCTCTATTTTTTCAAAGGGAATGTAAGGGACGCCAAGTATCATCTCAGCAAAAATCCACTGTTTTGTTTTAACAACAAAATTATATGTATTACAAAGCAAATATTGCAAATATCTATTAAATTTATTAATTAGTTCAAATTACTTTTTTTTTAATTCTTATTTATTCCTTTACACCTGATTTAGATTACGTCAGTACAGTAGGACAGTAGCGATGGCCTGTTTTGACTCACTGGCACCAGTTAGTGTTTAAATTATGTCAGCGGTGAGTTTGAGCTCTACTGTCCTACTGTACTGGCATAATGTAAACCCGGCGTAATGTTTTAATGACTTAGACAGTGTCGATGTTTTTTATAATATTTCGCAACTGTTTTTTTATTTATTATCCGTCAATAAATCAACAGATATAGGTCCAGCGACTGTAACAAAGAGCAAAAAAGTATTTAAAGCCGCTTTAAATATAATCCATGTTAAGGGGGGCGGGGATTGTCCCGAGAAGTCCCTAGGCGGAGTACTCTTAGCGCTCAGTGTAAGTCGACCTCGGTCTTACGTGTACGTTTTTACTGATGCATCTGCGTCCGATCACAAGATCGTTGGAAAGGTATTAGATGCAGTGCAAAGGAAACAGAGTCAGGTTAGTAAAATGGAGCGTAAGATATTATTAGATCTGCTTTCAGAAACTTATTTGTCAAATATAGTTAATGGAGTTTAACAACAATCTAACTAAGCTGTGAAAAGCATTTTGTTAGGAATTATTATGTGTCAAATAATTTATTTGTTAGTTATACAGCAATTTATTTCGACATTGTAAGGTTCTTAATGTACAGAAATAAAATATGCTTAAAGAGATGGGTATACAATGACCGCGCCGAATGAAAGTCGATAGTCTCTGCCTACCTATACCTATACTCCTGTATTAGAAATGTTGCGTTGATAATGCATGCGCATGGCCTGTGCGACAGAGATAACGCTCTATGAAATTTAACTGTCTCTTTTCGATTCTTAGTCAAACAGTTAATAAACAGGTGGTGTTCGTGCTAACTGGACACTGTAATGACGTGAAGCGGCAGACGTACAAAGTGTACCAGCAAGTCGCCACCGCCAGCTCCGGGCAAGTGTTCAACTTGAACAAGACCAATGTGCATAATGTATGTTGAATTTATAATAGCTGTCGTCCATGTGCATGGAATTACAAATAAATTTACGCTACTATGTGTTCTTCTAGACTATGTTCTACATCTATGCCAAATTACATCTAGATCCGTTGAGTCGTTCTGGAGTTCCTGTAAGATTGGTTGAAAGTAGTTGTGATATAAATTTTGGCAACGCGAAATTTGATACGCGACTGCACAGAACACAATTCTTGATGTAGCGAAGTGTAAAGGAAAGGGATTCGCTGGTAGTCGTAGAAGGTCACAGCAGCGCGGAAAATATAACAAGGAAGATAGTGTTTTGTTTTTCTTGCCGTCAAATGTAACTAGAGTTACCTGTAGATTTATCTGATTTATTCATAGTTTAATTTATAATTTGGCTAGTCAATTTATTAATTGTCAGAATTTACAATCGCTCAGTGACACTAGATATTATGTTATTTATTCATGTATATTGTATATTGGCAAGTTTTCCTTATTTCCCAGATATTGGATTTTGTTAGAAGTTCGATACGAGGCAGAAGTGTTAATTTGGCCTCTGCAGTACACCCAGCTGGTTACAACTACACGCAAGCGGTAAGTCTACGATAAAGCCTTTAAGAAATAAATCATATTTAATTACACTGATATAAAAACGGCTAAACACTCACGGTGGCGGCACCGACTAGTTTCGAGCCCATCGGGAGCCCTTCATCAGGATGAGTGGCACTGGTATTATTTCGCGGAAGCAGCCCGTCGGTCACTGCATATTTAATTATTAACATATAACTATGTCAGTACTTACATACGTAATTAATAATAAAATTGTTGCTTTATTTATATCTCCCCTTGCATTACAAGACGTACCGTGGGTTTCCGAGACCAAAATCTCTGTATAAAATATGTTTTGTTATCTCTTTTTTGTCAAAGAATAATGACAGGGATGACGATATGTTTATACAGATTGGTTTCAGAAACCAATGGTGATATAACGTTTTTATTTATACGTTTTATCGGTTTCAGATTCCAGTTGACAGTAGTTTAGGAGAAGTGACTGTGTCAGTATCTGGAGCTAAGCCCACTATTAAAGTGGTGAACCCCAGCGGACACGAAGTCGTGGGGCCACCACAGCTTGTCACCACATTGGACCTATCTGAGATTATGGTATGTTAGATACATAATTTGAAGGTTATTTAATGAACGAGTGAGCCGTGAACTGAATGAGCCAATTTATTGATTGAATTTAATAATTCTATGATTCGTATGTAAATAATAATAATAAAGCCTTTTATTTCCATATCAAAATAACTATTTACATGAGTAGTACTCGTATATTGTTAGTAGTTCTCTTACAGTATTAGTATTGTTAGGTTTAAGTCTTTAGATATGGACCCCACTTTGGGTGAAGGCCTCTTCCATCTTTTTCCAATTCGTATGTAAATTAACAACTTTGAATTATTTAAACTTTAGTTTCTATTTCAGTAAAACCAGTAGAGATATTTTCTTATTTAATAATATGTTTTTTTTATGTGTATATATTAAAAACAATTGTAATAGAGGGCAGCTACCTCGGTCAAAGAATAAGTTTAGCTATCCAAAGGGGGAACGCTGCCAGTATCTTCGGGACCTTACCTATAGGGACTCCTTTTAATAACATATTTTAGTGAATTATTAGTTTTTTTTTTAAATATTTTATTTTATATCATAGATTTAATTGTAATACATTATGTGAAAAAATGAGGGTAGTATAATTTTTTATATAATTCCAGATAGTTAAAGTATTAGAACCGGAACCTGGCAATTGGACTATAACAGTAGGGAGTGAAAAAGATTATTCCGTCAAAGTGTCCGGTCTATCAAATATCACATTTGATCACGGGTTCTCTGTTGAGAAAACTAACTCTATGGAAGAAGCTAGCTATCGACCTTTGCAAGGTAGGGTACTTTTAAATTTTTTTCTGAATGATATAAATACTGAAGTAAATTGTTTTTTATAGATAGCTGTTGCCCGCGACTTTGTTCGCTCGCAATTAAAACAACTCAATTAGTAAGCTATGTGTTATTCCAGACTATGTCGTATGTATGCCAAGTTTCATCGAGATTCGTTGAGCCATTCTCGAGATACCTTTAAACAAACATCCATCCGTCCATCCATCTAAACATTTGCATATAATATTATTAAGTTTAAATAAGATCTCTGACTTCGATTTATAAAAATCTTTTTCTTGAAATCATAGCTGCCAGATCGTACTCAACATCGTTTATTAGAGGGATAATAGAGTCCCTTAGTGTAGATTAAATGAACTGATTAAGTCGTCATTATACTCAGAATATGATTTTATAAAAGATAACCTAAATTTTGCTTCCAGGAACTTATAACCACATGTTAATTTCTATATCAGAAGTGCCGGTTCAAATTGACTTCGCTGAAATATTAACAACAGATGGAAAGACGCTTTTCGAAGTTCCCGTCAAACAAAAAGACGATATGTTCTTAGCTGACGCCTTTATACCGCCTGATGATTTCTTTTATATCGCTGTAAGATCAATCGTCGGTTTCTGAGACCAAAATCCTTGTTTATAACACATTTTTATCTCTGTTTTCTCAAAGATTTTGAGAGGTATGACGATATGTTTTATACTGGGATTTTAATCTCAGAAACCCACCATAAATCAACATTTTTTGAGATTTGCAACGTTTAAACTTCAGAATTTAAGTCCAGAGTAATAGTAGACTGATCTTTATTCCTTTTATTTTTGAAGAAATCGATTAAAATTTAGTCTAATTTTGGGGTTGCCATTTTTTAATAAATTCTTATACATTAAACGTATTTTTAATCTATCTGATTACAGATAAATGGGCGAGATCAAAATGGACAAAAATTTCGGAGAGTTGGCCCAACAGCCGTGCAAGCTAAACCACCAGGTAACCTCTAAATATAAGTATATAGTCCTACCTGGATAAACGAGAAACCACTATAAGCGAGACACTACAACATTATCCTGACCAAATAGACGACCACCATACGCGAGAAAATCTGGTTAGAGAGAAACTTCTGTAACTGAGAAAAATGTGACAAACTTTCGCTAGTACTAGATCAATTGTATAGAAAAAAGTTAAGATTTATTTAAAAGTTAATTGAAACACTGACCTTAAATGATTTTACTTTTCAGATGTTCCTTATCTAACTGCGCCTAAACAGGTACGTAAATACAACCAAATCATCCTAATTAAATTAAAAAAAAATGCCATCTTACTTAATCTTAGTTATATACTGCGCTGGCGCAGCAACCACATTGGTTGTTTATTTATCAACCAGCTGTCGTCCGCGACTTCGTCCTCACAGAATTAAAATAAAATCTTAATTAGTTGCGTATGTGTTCCTCCAGACTATGTCAAATTTCATCGTAATTCGTTGATCTCTACTGGAGATAACTTCAAACAAATATACGTCTATCTAAAACATTTGCATTTATAATATTAGTAAGATGTTTTTTAAATATAAAAATTATTTAATTTGATTTATGTATAGAATTCTGCAATTTTTTTTTAATTCCGCGCGGACAAAGTCGCGAGCTACAGCTAGCTATATTTTCAGATAGAAGCCCGGTCGCACGATCGTGTAGTCCTCAAATGCAATGTGGAAAGTCTTGTTCCTGTAACTGTTCAATGGACCAGAGATTCGCCGAGGATGCAAAGGAAGACTTCAAGTCTGTGAGTAAAACATAAATCCATCTCTCTCACTCTCTTTGAGAAAGTTGAGATAGCAATATGATTTTGAGGCGTGTTTTTTCCGAAAATTTAATTTAACTCGTACTTGATTGTGTAAACTAATTCCACCAAAAAAAAAAACGATACTTGAGAAATAAAATTGAAGATATCTTTCCTTAGGGTCACACTTAGCGACTGATAAGTGTGACAGTTAGTTACTTATTTTAATTTATTTCAGACAGAGCACTTCAATAGAATACGTGATAGAAGACATGAGCGAAGCCCATGTTGGTACTTACAGGTGTTCTGCAAGCAACGCTGCGGGACAAAGCAAGACTAGCACGCAACTCTCCTTACTAGGTAAAAAAATATTTTGGCACTAAAATCTCTGTATGTCAGTTTATTTACAATGTTGTAGAATTGTTTTTTAAAAAGTTGCAAACAAAACAATGCCAATCTATATCAAATGAATAACAAAGTATTTGATGGAATTGTTATAATAATTCACATTTTACCGTAAGATGGCGTTGTTAGCTATAAATAAATATTAAAAAAAATTGTTATATTATGATACTAGATGTCGCTGTAAGTATTTAGTTAATCTGTGAAACTCGATATAGAATATCGCCCTGTCGCAATGAGTTGCGCGAGTCGAGTAACGGCAGACAAGACCTTACTTCATAGGATCATTTCTATAGTAAGTTCTTCACGAGACCTTCACAACATGTGAGATTGTACCAACCACGTTGATGAGACGTGGCGCGACGCCCTGAGCGTGAGGCGGGCGGCAGCAGCTCGCTGTCAGCCCTCGATGATCGTTCGCTCTCCGTGAAAGCGGAGGGGGTGGGGCGTTGTCGCTGTCTGAGTGGTTTTTTTTAAACTTTATAAAAATAAAACAAATCTTGAAGCACAAGTTTAGTTTTAACATCGGTATGAAAAAACTTATTTATAAAACGGAACTTTATTCTAGAATTGAATATTCTTAGGCCTATAATTATCAAAACTATTCTTGTATTGGCTTTTTAAATTCTTTCCTTGTGTCTTGTAATATAGAAATGTTATATAATATTATAGTACTCGTTCAATATTTTTTTTAATATCAGTACGTAACTTTACATTAATATTACTAGCAAAACTTACTTATGAATCACAAAGGAAGGGTTTTTTCGAGATTAAAGTTAAATTACTAACTCACTACTATAATTCTGTACCCTGATGACAAACTTTCTTCAACAGTGGAACCGCCCCAAGTGTCAGTATTGCCAGTGAACGCAACACTATCTGCTGGTGAAGACCTGACTATCTCCTGTGCGGTCTTCAGTGAAGCCGTACTTCTTAAGAGTCAGATTATATTTAACAATGGCAAAACTGTTAATGGTGAGTTTCAGTGACTTTGTGAACAAACACGTCCCTACTGAAATGCTGATGACAACCTTAAATTAGTTGTGACTAGGCTTGGTTGACTAACAGACCGTCTACATTATGCCAGTTGTCGTAGAGTGGCCGAACTGGCCTGAAAAGTAGAACGCCATCCCAGTTATTGGTCAGACTGGCTTATTGGCTTTCGTGGGTGTACACATACGTCAGCGCCGATTTCGAGCGTGACTGGCTTACTGAGCTAGCCTGGTCTGAACGTGGTATAAGGCTGACGCTGTCATAGTGCAGGTTGACTTCACATATATTTTCAAAGTTCTTCACATATGAAGATTGCACCACGATGTTTTCTCTTGCCTTAAAAACATCGGTAGTTATTTTATCCTAGAATAAGTTTTAGGTTTTGAAACGTATAACTTTTAAAGATAAATAAAAAATCATTTTTTTTTCAGTGACTAATATTAAGGTTGGTCGGAATATTGATGGCTTTTATTCCTATAATAAGACGATTTCCAACGTCACTGAAAAACATCGCGGCAAATACACCTGTCTAGCTGCTAACAGAGGTTAGTTATCAATAAATATATAATTAAGATGTCATTTACTTAAAAAAAAACTGAATTTATTTTTACCAACAAAACATTTGTTTTATGATATGGCCGTACTCAATAACTTAATCTGTGTTTATTTTTTTGTAATTCTAAACCTATCTAGAGATCGTAAACCAAAGTAATGTGAGTAAACGATCAATTTTTGTACATCCTGTATATAAATTATTTACAGGAGGTTCAATAAATCAATCAACATACATAATTATAGAGAGCGAACCAACAGCTAAGATATTAGGACACCATAATGTCGCCGGACAAATTAATACCAATCTAAAATTACTATGTCAAGTGGAGAATGCTAATTTGGCACAATGGATGTCACCAAATGGCACGGTGGCAAAAGAAGTGGTAATTAATGGCACTTATAATATTACTCTAGATGTGACACTCACTGAGGAGGGTTACTGGACTTGTATTGGTTTACGAAATTCACATAGAGGTTGGTATTATTTACTATTTTGTGATATTATCACACAATCGAGACTATTATGACACATTTATAGCCGCCGAGTTCCGTCATCGGACGACACGACAGACCGCCAGGTTCCTTCCACACCATCTCGATGTCTGGCAATCCACAACCGTGCGGTTTGCGCGAAACTTCCTGCCTCGCACAGCAGCGTTGTGGAATGGTCTGTCGTCGGCGGTATTTACAAACCGCTACGACTTAAAGTCCTTCAAGAAGCGAGCTTATCGCCACCTCAAAGTCCGGCAACGCATCTGCGGTTCTTCTGGTATTGCTGATGTCCATGGGCGTCGTTGAACACCTCGGTGTTCCCGCTGCTCGTTTCCTCCCTTCTGTTATAAAAAAAAAACATTTGACAATTTGTTAGTATGGCAATGTCAAATGTAGACCGTTAAGGTTATCTGACTCGATGGGCATAAGTCCAATTAAATTATAAGCTCACTAGCGCCCCCCAGTCTACGTCAAAAGATATCACTATTCTATTTGTACTGTAGCTGGCATGTCATTTTTTTCTTTTGTCATTTTCTATGTCCAAGTAGGTTTTATATATTCTGACAAAAGTAACAACGATGGCACCGCCGGTTCAGATATTCTTGTTTTATAATTATTTTTGCAGAGTGCCATCTATTGGTCCTAATATTAATGTGTGACATTATTAATTTTTGTTATTAATCACTTATGTTTTATGTTTATCCTTAAAGCTTCAGATATAGTACAAGTAAATATTGAGATAAAGCCTGAAGTGAATATCGAAGATAGAAACATAACAGTAGTTGTAGGCAGCATGCAGCAATTAGTGTGTACTGTGCGAGCTAAACCGCCGCCTACAGTTGTATGGAGGAGAGGGACTGAAGAGTTTAATAATACGGTAAATATAAATGCGAATGTTTTGACTTTAAAAAAAAATTGACTTATTGTTGTTTGATTAAAATCTGTGTTTTTTCTACTTTGTCCTGATTAAAAATTTTATAGTAACATATAATGATTCCTGCAGGTAGTGCAAGTGAAAGAGACAGTATATAGGAGCGTGGTGATGTTAGACAGTGGCAGATATAATGTCAACGGGACCTACTTCTGTATAGCAGAGAACTCAGTCGGGAAAGCGCAGGATACTGTCACAGTAAATGTACGCAAGAATATGCGAATATTGGAAAACTTTACAGGTAACCTTTTAAGTGGTTTGTAAGATAGTCCTTAGTGTAGATTTCTCATATTAAATCTATACTTATATAGTTTGATAGGAAATTTCTTTAAATTATTAAGACTTTATACCATCTTACTTCTTACTAATATTATAAATGCGAATGTATGGATGTTTGGTAACTCTTGGTATATTCATAACTGCTGAATCAATCGCGCTGAAATTTGGCAAAGATGTATAACATAGCTAGGAAGAACACATAGCCTACTAATTAAGCTTTTTTATAATACAACGCGAACGAAGTAGCGGGCAAAAGCTAGTTTTTAATAAATAAGATTTTTAATAATTTTAATAGTTTAAAATTTAAAATTTATAAGATTTTTTCGTAATAAGTAAACTAAACTACTGATATTATTAAAACCAATAAACTAACCTAATTTTTATACTTTTCAGACCAACAAGTAGAATTATATTCACAAATAGACCTACACTGCAATGTGGACACCCATCCTCCGGCAACTATAACATGGCAACACAACAACACAGACATACAGACAGACGACAACATTGATATATCTGAAGATGGAACCACGCTATATATACAGAAAATTGATTTTAATGATCTCGGACTTTATACTTGTTTAATGGATAATGGATATGAAAGGATACAAATTAATGGGTCGTTACAAGTTGTTGGATTGGGTGAGATATTTTAAATATCATCAGTTCACTTTAAGTTCCAACTTAGGGGCTCGGAGCATATCTTAAGTTAGTGATTAGGACATAGTCAATGCTGGCACAGCTGGTTGACTTCATACATATCTTTGAATTTCTTCTCAGATATGTGCAGCGTCACGATGTTTTCCTTCACCATAAGAATGTCGGATAAATGTACATTTTGTAAATCTAAAAACATATTGCTACATTTCGGGATTCGTACTCAGAATCTGCAGGTTACAAGTCAACTGCTTAACCCTTGAGCCATCTACCTTATTTTAAATATGTTCTACACTTTCAACTGGGTTAATAAGACCAAAACCCGTTTAAAAATATTGTTGTTTCTGTTTTTTTTTAAAGATAATAACTGAAATTTGATTTTTTTACAGAAAGTCCTGTTTTATCTAAAGAACCTTCCAGTATAAGAGCGCGCAGAGGCGACACCGCATTTATAACATGTAGGTGAGATTTGGTATCACTTTATAATAAAAAAAAAATATATATAAATATTTATAATGTCATAACATAAAGAGAAAACGAAGATACGTTACATTTCTATATATTTTAGACATTAGTTAGAATCTTTTAGCGCGAATGACGAGCTTTCGCTACAAAGTCAAATGTCAGAATGATTAGTGCAGGGACATAAACGTTGACATTTTTGTAAAGCTAGTGTTGCCAGTACATCGGCACAATATCGGATTTTCTTCCTAACAATATATACCTTAATTTATGTATTTTTTACCTGACTGACAAAGAGAGTAATGTAACTTTTTGTGCGTATTGAAGTTTGTTTTTTTTAACTAGCCCTAATCCGCGACTTCGTCCGCGAGTAATTAGTAGCCTATGTTTTTTTATTTCAGCTAGATCGTATTCGTATCGTTCAGTTGTTCTGAAGATACCTTCTAACAAACATATATCCAAACATTCGCATTTATAATATTAGTAAGATGTGGATTTGTTTATGTAAATTCCATTGTGGCGGCCTAAGACCTTAACAACTGAACTGATAGACGAGCGAGGTGTCATTCTATTTGTCTTCTTCCCCAGAGTCTCATAAAGTATATTATTATTTATAAGTTTGTCAAATTTATATTACAATCCTTTTTATTAGCATTACTAAAATTACAGACTATTAAAGGGCAACCCAGAACCGAAGATAACATGGCAATACAAAATTAACGGAACAGATGAATTTAAAAATCTTAGAAACAACACCAAAGTGAATGAAGAAGGTTTTATTGTGACCATAAACAATGTGAGTTTACAAGACGAAGGTTTTTATCAATGTTTAGCAGAAAATCCTATTGGAAAAGATATTTATCAAGTTTTTCTAAATATACTATGTGAGTATTTTTCTACGTTAATATTCTAGAAATATATTTATATGCTTATAAAGTACTAGCTATCTCCCGTTACTCCGTCTGCGCGAAATTAAAAAAAACTCAATAAGTAGTCTACGTGTTCTTTCAGACTATGTTCTACATCTATAATAAATTTTAGCAAGATTTCCGTTTGGTCGTTCCGGAGATACTTTTTAACAAATATCCATCCATCCATACATTTTTTCGCATTTTTATCAGTAAGTTAAGTAAGATAAAGTCAAAAACTATTGAACCGTTATTAAAAATTCTCGCTTTATATAAAATTTATCTTTTTCAGATCCACCAGAATTAAAAACTTTACGAAAATCGGAAGAAAATAATTTAGAAATCAAATCTGGTGACAAAGTTTTGTTGAATTGTAACGTTGTTGGTAATCCTCCGCCTTTCGTAGTTTGGACTAAAGATGGAAAAACTTTATCTTACTCTAAGAATGTGTAAGTTATATTTAAAAGCTTAAGGTTAAACAAAAAATATAGAGAATTTAGAGAATTAAGATTTGAAACAGTTTCATTTTACATTAATTCAATTAGCCGTCTATAATCTATTGATTTCCACTAACGCGGCTTCGATTGACATACGAGTCGCGTGACTAAGTTTAGTGGAAAGGGGGTTTAATAATTTTCATCTTTCTTTCTTGCTAGTATGTTATTAACACATTTAGTGTTAAACTAAGATCCGAGTAAGTATCTTGTTAGATAATCATCATCATCAGCTCACTATACGTCCCCACCGAGGGGCTCGGAGCCTACCCTAAGTAAAGGGTGATTAGACCATAGTCAACCACGCTGGCCAAGTGCGGGTTGACTTCACACATGTCTTTGAATTTCTTCTCAGATATGTGCAGGTTGCATCACGATGTTTTCCTTCATCGTAAGAACGTCGGATAAATGTACATATAATATGTAAATCGGAAATAGAAAAACACATTGGTACATGGCGGGATTCGAACCCAGGACCTGCAGATTGCAAGTCAAGTGCTTGACCACTGAGGCACCGACGCTCCTAAATAGATAATAAAAAACGCAATTATTAACCTACATGTTCTTCCAGACTATGTTCTACATCTTTGCCAAATTTTACGGAGATCCATACTGTGGCTCTAGAGATATAGTCCTATAATACATCCATACATTCAAACATTCGCATTTATAATATTAGTAAGATAAGATTTAAAAAAATAATTAAAAGCGGTAAATATGTTTCTTTCAGCTACTTAACTAATACAAACGAGTTAGTTATATCAAATGTGACAGTGTACCATTCCGGTACTTACAACTGTAACGCTTCCAGTACTTTGGGCTCTCTCACTAACAACTATACATTGCAAGTTTATTGTGAGTATATTGTAATATACTTATTTGAAATAACTTAATTTAATCACGCACACCGCATCGACGCCTCGGGTGATCCAAGGGCCTGCGCCATTTCAATGGGGAAATAGCGTCAGCCTTCTGGGAACCCTATTGTGCGAACGCGATTTGGGGTCGATGTTTTATATTATTTAGTTTGGTTTAGTTTTAGTATATAGTTTATTTAATATGACTTACTTGACTTAAAGTCCTATGTACTCGTTAGTGGGGCAGGGCTCTATCTTGAAATCTGCGTTTGGTCTCGAGCCATGTCAGACCAATTGCCTTCATGTCTGCAGCTACTGAGCGCCGCCAAGTTTGTTTAGCACGTCTTCTTGTTCCTTACGGGATCCACTCCAGGACTTCCCTGGGAATATAATATAGCATAATTCATTTGTTTTATAGTAGTTACAGTTAGTTATAATAGAGATTTAATAACATCGGTTGTATGAATGTAATGCCACGACAACACAAGACATGCCTCAAGTGGAAGTAATTCCACGTACAGTCTGACTAGTGTGCGTTTCTTAGGACTTATTTTATTCGTCTGTTTTCCTTTCTTTCAAAGTAGGAATGGGAAGGGGAGGTATATTTGGCGGGAACGTATAAATAGGAAAAGAATCCTCTTTCTGTGTGTCCCTTCTATTGATTACTTCCCTATATTGCCGAATTACGATGGCCGATTGCTCATTTGTCATCTTAAAATATTTAAAAAGTTTAGTTTACTACAATTTTGTCTAGTTAAAGTGCTGTTTTTGTATATCTAAACTTTTAACACGTTAGCTGCCATGTCGGAGCTAAAGTTTCAATCAGGCCGTGTGGGATATGTGTCTGACAAGCCATACTTCCATTGATATGTAAATAATAAGTTTATGAGCAATGTAAATAAGGTATTACTATATTTTAGGTGTTTTCAAATTTAAAAACGGTTTGGACAAAATAAAAAAAAAATATTTCGTTTTTCGAAAAATCATTCTAGCAGCTAACGTGTTAATTTTACTAAACAATCAACTGAGTTGTCATCATGATCATGTTATTGTTTTTTTGTATAATTATTGAATACTTTCAGTGTCGCCTTCAATAACTACACATAGTCAAGACCAAGTTATACAAGTGCTGGAAGGTCAGCTGGTGGAGCTGCCGTGTGCTGTGTCAGGCTCCCCCACTCCAGCTGTCACTTGGTCACATAATGATGTAAATGTCAATGAACACAGGAAATATATAGATGAATATGGAATGAGGTAATATATATTGGTTTAATTTTATTGCAAAAAGCTTTGAATTTAAAATAAAAAAAATCTAATTTGTCTATTCTATTTTTTTTTCAGGTTTGTTGCGAATTTGACAGACTTTGGTGAATATTCTTGCATTGCGACAAACGCATATGGATATGCGATGTTAAATTACACAGTTTATGTATGGGGTAAGAGTCTAAAACTATTGTTAATAATAATCAGATCCGATCAAACAAGTTTGTAAGTTTGTCTAACTATATTTAGGTACAATCAGGGCAATTCGCGGTGTTCCACTTACAGTAAAGTTGTCTTGTTTGTTGCAACGAGACGAACAATGCTTCTTACAATACATACAGTAATAATTTACGCAAACGGTGCATAATATGCAAAGAACAATTGCAAAAAGAAATTAGTAATGTATTTTGTGACACGTTTATAAACTGCGTTGCATTAGTTATTGTTTCAAAGACGTTATTTCGTCTCAATGTTAACGAAACGATTACAAGACTATCGCTTTTAACTTTGAATACCGTCAAATTCCCTAATAGTACTTCATATTCTTTTGTCATAGTATATTTTTATTTGCAGTGGCGCCATTTTTGGAGCCTCCATTATTGGAGACAAAGAATGTTTTATTAGGCTCCAATGTAACGCTACAATGCAGTGCTATTGGCTTCCCAGTTCCTATTATCTTGTGGCAATTTAACAATACATTACTGGCTGAAAATACAACGGATTTAAGGTAAAATTTAGTATGAATTAAGTTAATATTTGTCATCCCTTTCATTCTCACTGATAAGGAAGAGACAACAATATGTCAATTCATGTCTCTATAATAGAAATCCACTGTTAAACGACTCGAAATTTAGCTTATTGTTGACTCATTCATCAGCTTCCTATACATCACCACTGAGGAGCTTAGAGCCTACCGTAAGTTAGTGACTAGGCCATAGTCAACCACAGCCCAGTGCGGGTTGACTTCACATATCTTTGAAATTCTTCTCAGATATGTGCAATATCACGTTCTTTTCCTTCACCGTAAGAACATCGGATAAATGAAAATCATATTGGTACATGACGGGATTCGAATCCAGGAAGCGGATCACAAATCAAGTCAAGTCACGATCACACAGAAGACAGCCGTGAAGTGGAAAGCAATTCCCGGTGGCCTCATTTAGTTCTTTTTCCCTTCCTATCCTTTTTCTTATAAGGAGAGGATGGGAAGTGGAAGTGGGCTTTCCGGAAGAGGGGATGCATGGGAAGGGAAAATATTTTCTTTCTGTGCATCCTCTCCTCCGTCGATTAAAGGTAGGCAACGCATATGTAATTGCGTATGTCTATGGGCAACGGTCACTTCGCTATTTCATCGGTTTCAAGTGGCCGATCGCTCGTTTGCCACCTTATGATATAAAAAAAGTGCTTGACCCCTTAGCTCTTTAGGCTAAATTTATATATATTTTGTGTATATTCCAGTTTCAATGAGATCGGACAAATGAACATAACAAATGTGAATTACAAACACGAGGGATATTACGAATGTGTTGCTGAGAACTTAGCGGGCTTCGCTGCAAAGACGATTATTCTCAATATAAATGGTTTGTTTGTATGTTTTTCTATGAAATAAAGTTAAATTTAAATCAGCAAATCATGTACTTGAGTTGTATATAAACTTTCATTGTTTTCCTCAATATAAAGTTAATTATTTCTGTTTATTTTTTTCAAATGTTTTTAGAACCACCAAAAATAATGGACGACAACTACACCGGGCCGTATGTCGCTACAGTACTGGATACATTTCTTGCCCTCGCCTGCAAAGCTACAGGCAAACCTACACCTTATGTCGTATGGATTAAAGACGGTTATTATTTAGATAAAGGTAAAGTACTTATTACCAACTAAAAGCAGTTTGAACTAGTTTTTGCTAGGTTTTGTTAAAAATTGGAGCGTCTGTATAAAGTATTTTGTAATGCGTTTGTTTTAAAAAATAACCATAAATATATAGATTCCCGTTACGATATCGACATGGAGGGTACGTTGACCATTAAGTCACCTTCAGAAGACCTCAGTGGAGACTACACATGTCTCGCTAAGAATATCCTCGGCTCCGCCACACGGACTGTGCCCGTACAAATATACGGTAAGTTAAACTTTTTGCCTGACTTCCTGTAAGTAACATTATCTATAAGTTTCAGTAATGTTGAAATAACCGAAGTATTATTTGATTCGTATAGTATTTATCATGTAACTATAGTGTGCAATAAAAAAACATACAGCCAAATTGAGAACATCCTCCTTTCTGAAATCGGTTGTAAAAAACTATTATGGACTATTCCGTATAGTAAACTATTTCTGATTCAAATATTATAAGCGTGAAGCGCCAACAGCCAAATGGTCAAGGGTACGGATTTCCGATCACGTGGTCAAGAGTTCGAATCCCGCCATACGACTATTGTCGTAAACCATATCTTAGAACAAGCATAAAGCTTAGTTGGAATGGTGCAAGAAATATTAGAAAACAAAAATTTTGTTAATAACAAAAAAAAGATCCTTTCAAATGTTTAGGAAGCATGTGGTAATAAATATCTATACATCCATCCAAATTTTAATATTAGTAAGATAGATAATTTTATATTCTAGCTGTCCCTAGTGTGATGGTGTCTGAAGAGTCTCAGTCTGTCATGCACGTGGTGGAAGGCAGCAATGCCACCATCGAATGCCCCCTGCGTCGTGGACTTAATGACACCATCAAATGGTATAAGGTTCGATGATTTGTGTAAATTAAATGTCAAATTATAGTTATATTCGATGTTACGGTGAAGGAAAACATCGTGAATCCCATATGTGAGATGAAATTCAAAGATATGTGTAAAGTCAACCCGCACTGGGCCAGCATTGGCTATGACTAACTTAGGATAGGCTCCGAGACCTTGATGATGATGAGAGATTGACGAGAGATGATGATGATATGTATATATCCACTATTTGTATATTTAGAGTTTGCAGTTTTAACCTCTTTTTTAATAAACTATGTCCGTAAGATTTCTATAATCTGACCAAAAGGCTGAAGTTAATACATTTAATAATCAATAAAAACATTAAACAATTTCCAGGACGCATTATTAATATCAAATACGTCATTACACTTGACGCCGGTGAGACGTGCGCACGACGCGAGGTACGCGTGCGTAGTGAGCAACATGGCGGGGGGCGCGCACGCGACACTCATTTTGGACGTACAATGGCCGCCGCACACCAACACATATACACAGCTGCTTGAGGTTTCTGCAGGAAATAATATTGAATTGAATTGTGATGTTGATGCTAAACCTACAGCTAAGGTAAGTTTACGTTTTACGGCTAGTTAGTTACGGTTTAAAGTTTAAGTATGATGTATGTGCCTTTAAAATTACCTTTACAATGTTCTCAAAGTCTTTTTTAAATTAAAGGACAGTTTTGGGAAGCGAAGTAATGAGCGAAGACCCTAGAATTTGTAATTTCCCATTTCCTTTGGCACCTTATAGTACGTCTTTATTATTTTTTAATTAAATCAATACATCTTTAGTATTTTCAATTATGATTGCGTAACTTCGTATACAAAATAAAGAAGCAAATTTTGAGAAACGCTGCTCTAAATGATTGGTCAATGTGGCCATAATGTAAAATCCTGCCAAAAGTAGACTTAAGAGTAAAATAAGCACCAATACTCAAAGGTTAATGCCAAATATCTCTAAATTACGGTATGGTAATATTGGTAACAAGGCGTATATTTTCATATTGAAACGTTTTATTTCAGACGAAATGGTTGTTCAATTCCAAGTTATTACTAGGAGAGGACAAGAGTCATTTGAAGCTGACAAATATCCAACTCAGACAGACCGGAGTGTACAAATGTGTAGCCGCCAATGAACACGGGACAGTCGTAAAAGAATTCACTGTAGACGTCTTAGGTTTGTTATATCTTATTAATATTATAAATGCGAATGTTTGGATCTCGTTGAAATTTGGCATACTTAAGAAAGCCTTTTATTAATCGATAAAAAAATGGAAATAATCAAAGTGTACTCAATTTTTTTCCTTTTTTTTTTCTTTGTCGTCCTCATAACATACTATGGGATAAATATACAAACAATTTTTATTTATTTTGTTTATTAGTTCCACCTTTTATATCTGACTTCGATGTGTTGGATGTTCAACTGAAGGAAGGTACGAATGCTAGTCTCGAATGTAACGCAAGGGGATCTCCGAAACCTGACATAAAATGGACGTTCAAGTAAGTATTTAAAATTGGACAATGAATCTTAAACATATAACAACAATACAGACGGTTTAACAAATATTTAAGAAAAGTTAACCCAAAATGTATTTTATAACTCATCATCATCATCATCATCAGCTCCCTATACGTCCCCACCGAGGGGCTCAGAGCCTAGCCTAAGTTAAGGGTGATTATACCATAGCCAACCACGCTGGCCAAGTGCGGGTTGACTTCACACATATCTTTGAATTTCTTCTCAGATATGTGCAGATTGCATCACGATGTTTTCCTTCACCGTAAGAATATATTTATATATATTTTATAACTACGGATTTACTTTTGAAACTTCCATACAAAAATGTATTATACAATAAGTATGTTTTATAATGTATCGACATTAGTAACACACTTTTAAAAAGATAACTTTGTATAACAAAAATCAACAGTATAGAATATTGGAAACTGATTTGACATCCGGCTCGAAGGACCATTCAGCTGTGTTAGCTTTATAAAATAAAATTATATGAATAAAAAAATAAAAACATACTAAAAATGTCACAATTTTGACACATGGCTGCACGCTTGCAACGGAAACTGTTGCTCAAAATTAAAAAAAAAAAAACAATCTATGGTCCTTGTAATATATTTTTGATTTCAGCAACACATCATGGTTAATTAAAAATTCAACAATAATAAATACAAATATTACGACAAAGTCGGAAGGTACATATAAATGCGAGGCGAGGAACAAAGCGGGTGTCACATATCTCGTATACAGAGTTAATGTCGTTAAAATAGCTAAAATTGAAGATATTATAGTATTTAATGATGCTATCGGTACTAACGTCATAGATATATTGGAAGTTGTTGTAAGTAATTCATAATTTATTTGCTAGTCTGCATTTCATTAGAAAAACACGAATTATTATCTAAAATTATTCAAACTTTCGTGAGACATTATAATAAACTTATATAAAAACGGCTAAACACTGACGTATACTCGTCCGGTGGCACCGACTAGTTTCGAGCCCATCGGGGGCATTTCATCAGGGTGAGTGTGACTGGTATTATTTCGCGGACGCGGTACGTCGCTTACTGTGGCCGCGTCTCACCGCTCAGTGTTTAGCCGTTTTTATAAGTTAATTATCTTACTAAATTAATAGCCAATAATAGCATTCCGTGTGGAATGAAAACTCAATAAGTCTATGTGTTCTTTCAGAATATGTTATACATCTGTGTCATTCATCAAAATTTGTTGAGCTGTTCTGAAAATATATTTTAACAAACAGCCATCCATATATACCGCTCAAACTGAGTCGCGGGTGACAGCTAGTTATAATCTGTCTCTACTTCAAATTTCATCTAGATTTATTAAACTGTTATGAAGTTAAATAACAACCATACATACATCCAATTTTCCCATTATTAGAAAGATATGATTAGAAAAAGACAAAGATAAGAAATAAGAAAATATTTTTTAAGAATGTTTCCGTCAACGTGCACTCAAGTGTTTCTAGAACAATCTACAGTTAAATTTTTTCATCACTGAAACTTCCAACAGGTAGATTCTCGTATCCGTATAGCGTGCAAAGGTACAGGCAAGCCGACACCTTACATACAGTGGATAAGACATGGTAACACTCTCGCTAACAACACACCAAATATTAACTACGCAGATTTCATTATACATAAAGTGGCAACATCGGATGCTGGCTTGTACGTCTGTGTGGCGTCCAATGAAGGTGGAGTTGACGAGAGGAAAATTAAATTGGATGTTTTGGGTAAGTAACAATGTACTTATTATGAACGTTGTTGGCCGTTGTTTAATTAAAAAAAAAGCTATATTATCATACTAGCTCTTGCCCGCAACATCGTCCGCGAGGAACCAGAATAAATCTGCCTTTACGCTATTCCTGGTAGTAATCTATGTGCTTAACGTCCAGATCCGTTCAGACGTTCTGGAAATACCTTCTAAAATAATATAATAATTATTATTATAGTTATCGCTTATGTAGCGCAAAATTTTGTTCCGTAATTTATGAAACTAGTTGTCGCCCGCGACTTCGTTTGCTCTTAAAAAAATACTTAATTAGTAGCCTATGTGTTCTACCAGACTATGTTCTATATGTGTGCCAAAATTCAACAATATCCATGAAGGCGTTATGCAGATAATTTTCAATATACATACATCCAAACATTCTCATTTATAATATTAGTAAGATATGAAATATAAAACACATAGAAGCAACATTACTTTAAAATAAAATTTTATATTTTCAGAGCCACCAAAAATATTCCAAAATTTATTCCAAGAGACATCTTCAACAAATATAATAAATTTAGAAGTGTTATCAGGGCAAGCTTTTTATATGCATTGTCATCCGTATGGGAACCCATTGCCTGAGATATATTGGTTTAAAGACAATATACCATTGAAATTGTTTGATAATACAATGATATATACAGATTATAGTGAAATTATTCAATCCCCTAACGCATTGTATGAACAGTCAGGCAATTATACTTGTGTTGCTAAAAATAAAGTTGGAGTAACTAGTCTTATTTATTTGGTTGATGTTTTAGGTAAGTTTTTTATCTATTTAGGAGTTTATTCATTTAACTAATTAAATCACAAAATTAATCGACATCACAGGGGACCGAAGAGCTGGCAGCTACCTCGGTCAAAGAATTAGTTTAGCTGTACAGAGGGGGAACGCTGCCAGTATCATCGAAACCTTGCCTAAAGGGACTCCTTTTAATAATATATTTTAGTAAATTATTAGTTTTTTTTTTTTAATATTTTATTTAATATCACAATTAATTAATGTAATTATAGAAATAAGTATGTATAACAAATTTGCAATTTAACGACAGTACTAATTAATTTATTTGTCTTCTTCGTCACTTTTATTGGTGATTCGAGTTTGATTCAATCTCATAAACTCACATTTATAATTAAGCATAAATAGCCCATTCTTCGGTAAAATACCCATAAGAATGCATAAAGATCTGGATCTAGATTATTCAAGTAAGAAGGACAAGGACAGCAAAGATATACTAGCTATCTCCCGCGACTCCGTCCGTGCGGAATAAAAAAAAACTAAATCAGTTGTCTATGTGTTCTTCCTTCTAACAAACATCCATACATCCATCCAAATATTGGCATTTATAATATTAAGTAAGATACTGGACATGTAAATAGAGGAAAGTGATAATAAAATTACTATTCGATTCAAAAAAAGAATTAAAACCTTTAATTTAAACTAGATGGCGTTAGTGGCGATATTGCTGCAAAATTACAAAAAACACTTTCTTTGTCTATATTAAATAATTTTTATATATAAATATAATTTATATTTTCTAACGTCTTCCAGTACCACCACCACAACCGAAGGAAAGTACAAAAGAAGTGAGAACAAGAATTGGTAAAGCATTAAACCTAACTTGTCCTGCAGAGGGCGCTCCCAGACCATATGTCACATGGATCAAACATCCGTACTCAGAGATCACTCAATTCACACCCAGAGTGCATCTCACTGAAGATAATGTCACTTTAGTAAGTAACACTTAAGACTACATTGATATTCCGTGCTTTTTTATAAAAAAAAAATTAAAAATGTAATTAAAATTAAAGTATTGTATTAAACTAGCTGTCGCCCGCGAGTCTGTCCGCGCGAAATTAAAAAAAATCTTTATGAATAGCCTATGTGTTCTTCCAGACTATGTTCTACATCTATGTCAAATTTCAACGAGATCCGTTAAGCCGTTTCAGAGATATCTTCAAACATACATCCAAACATCTAAACATATGCATTTATGGTATTAGTAAGATTATTTAAACATGATATATCAATATTATTAATAAAATAGGAGTGTCTGTATGTTATATCGCAAAAAAAAAACATATTTCGCAAATATATTTGCGATGTTTATAACAATTTTTTTTGTCTGTCTGTCAAGCTAGGCCATGTTTGTTCATTGTAATCTCCGAAACCTTTGGTCGGAAATATAGCTTATGTATTCCAGAGTGACTTGGGATACTTAAGTAGGATTTTTATATATAGTTATGTACTTAAATAAGACGCAAATATTTATTACAGATAATAAATGTTACATTAGTAGCCGACAGTGGAATATATTCCTGTATCATGACTAACAAAGTTGGAGCTATCGAAGTCAATTTTAACGTGATTATAGTAAAGCCGTCATCCATCGTCGGCAATGTGGGCAATGACACAATGGAGAACCACGTGGTGTCATTGCGACGCAGCATTGTACTCAAATGTGATGTGGACGGACATCCACCGCCTAAGATTACTTGGTTAAAGGTATTTTATAGTTTACTACACTTTGTTCTTTATAAGTTTAATAATCCGGTGTTAAATACCACTTACAGTCTTAAATCGGTTACTAAGAGAGTCCCTTAGTGCAACCTTCCCTTACTAACGTTACACTAAATTCCCAATTAATGACTCCGAGTGCAGCAATTAGTGCTTATGACAATTTAATAATTCAAATATTTTCGAACACACTAACAGTATTTACTTAGTGTGACAGAGATAGCGCTCTACAAAACCAAACATCTGTCTCTTTTTATTCAATCAATTGAAAACAACGCCATCTAGTGAAAGCTTGCACTTTGAATTGAAACTACTCAGTTCAATTTTGCAAGTTTTTTAATGAATATAGGATATCCAGCGAGTGAGCGAGGAGGTGCACATCCAGCGCGTGTTGGGCAGCAGCCTGCTGGCTGTGTGGAGTGCGGCAGTACGTGATGCTGGTCAGTACATCTGCGTGGCGGAGAACAGCGCCGGCATCGCCTCGCGCCGGTACAACCTCGCGGTTAAAGGTACACCATTCGAAATACAATATTTTTTTTATATTTCAATGCAGTAGCGGTGTTAGTTTAGGGCGAGGTGGGCCAATCGCCTAGTGAGGGAGGCATAAGGGGCCTTAGGGCCAGATTCGGATATAAACCGGCGCCTGCAGCCAAAGAGAGGGTATCTTAGGGCATACCCTAAGATACCCTCTCTTTGGATGATTTCCCTCATCACCAAAAAGGGGGGCATCGCAAAAATCTCACCCAGGGCGCTGCAAAAGCTAAAACGGGCCTATTTCAATGAACGACGCTATACCAGGGATAGCACTCAAGACTTTTATCATATTTTATATCCTAATCAATCTTACTAATATTAGAAATTTGTATGTGTCGGTGGGTAGATGTTTGTTTGAAGGTATCTCTAGAACGGGAGTCTGTCGTTGTCATTTGTCATACATATAGAACATAGTCTGGAAGAACACAGGCTACTAATTAAGTCTCTTTTGCATTCCGCGAGGAGAGTCTCCGGCAACAGCTAGTCTATGACACATATGAGTTTATTTTCCAGTGCCTGGTAAATGGAGTGCATGGTCACAATGGAGCTACTGCAATGTGACCTGCGGTTTAGGTTATCAGAAACGATCTAGATTTTGTCACTACATAGACGATAATAATAATACTATTGGTAAGATATTACTATTGTTTTAAAAGTATAGTAAAATAAGGATATCTGACCCGATGAGGGCGCTGCTATCGCGGTTAGTTCTGTAAGAAAATAAGTGAAATGTACTTACCGTGGGATTCTGAGATAAAATCTCTGTTTAAAGCTTATTACGTATGGTTAATCAAAGATAAGATTGATGACGATGTTTTACATATATATTTTGGTCTCAGAAACCAGATAGATATAGAAAATTACATAAAATGAATAGAAAGATCTTGTGACAGTTTCTGTTAGTGTCAGGGGGGCGTTAGTGAGCTATATATTAGTTTCACTTATGTCTGCCGCGACAAATATCCTTATCGAGCTATAGTTAACACGTTAGCTGCCGTGACGGACTATGTATCTGACAAGCCATACTTCCATTCAACACCTCGCTGTGGCTTTTTAATCGAATTGTTGTATACAGCGTGAATCGCAAGGCCCCATTCAAATGGTTTTGGGCAAAATTAAAAAAAAAAACGTTTTTCGAAAAATCATTCTGGCAGCTAACGTGTTAAGGATATAAGTCAATTTATCGATATACAAGATTGTTCTAATTGTGATTTGTTACAGACAAAACTTCCATGTCAGATAAAATAATACTAGACGAGAGCGCGTGTAAAGGATCGACAATTGACAGAAGGAAATGTCGCATGCCATCTTGCGAAGTGAGACAAAATCATTTAACTTCTATAAGTCTTTGTGTAATTAAATTACCTTTAAAACTAAATATAAACAATATTTAGTCCTGTGATATACAGCATGTTCAGTTTTGTAACTGACAACATGGTTTTTCTTATGTAATTCCAAACAATGAGAGCGTCGGTGGCTCAGGCGTTATACACTTGACTTGCAATTTGCTGGTCCTGTGTTCGAATCCGATTTACATATGTACCTTTTATCCGACTTTCTTACGGTGAAGGGAAACATCGTAATGCAACCTGCACATATCTGAGAAGAAATTCAAAGATATGTGTGAAGTCAACCCGCACTGGACAAGCGTGGTTGATTATTGCCCAGTCACTCCTAACATAGGGTAGGCTTCTAGCCCCTCAGTAGGGAAACATAGTGAGCTGATGATGAATTTCCATCATCCTGTATGTAATTGTGTGTAAGGAGGAGGAGTCAGGCTGGTCGAGCTGGTCGCGCTGGGGCGCGTGCTCAGCGACGTGCGGCGCGGGCACGCAGGCGCGGGCACGTCGCTGTCGTGCGCATGCGCAATACCAATGTACCGGCGACAACGTACAGGTTTGTGTATAACCATATTCGTCTCTACCTGATGATCTAGATTACTTATAGAGGGGAGGGGAGCAATCATTAATATCTTATTCCAAGTAGTTTTTATATCTATTTTACAATTTACTATTCTCTAGGTAGGGTGAGGGGGACCATGCTTCCCCTCCCCGTCTGGTTACGCGAACAATACTAAATATAGTCTGTGTTATTCAGTGATAATGAAGCAATCTATGGTTAAAAGAATTTTTGTAATCGGATGAGTAGTTTTTGAGTTTTTTTTCTTACTTACATACTTTTCAGCGCACTCCCACTAATACAATATAGGCTCCCATTAATATAATATAAGCGTTAATAGCCTAATGGTTAAGGCTACGGATTTCCGATCACAAGGTCGTGGGTTCAAATCCCGACATTCGACTATTGTCGTAAATCATATCCTAACACAAGCATACAGCTTAGTTGGAATGGTAAAAGAAATATTAGTAAATTTCCAAAAAAAAAACCACTAATATTTTAAATAAAGAAAAAAATATATAATAACTCATAACCCATTTCTTTCATGATGACAGATAAGAAAATGTCCGAACTTACCAAAATGCAGTTCCCAATCGAGATACAATACAAATGAAGTTTACAGCAGCCAAGAAACTAATGAAACTGTAAGTTATTTTATATTAACTATATAAAACTTAATTACTTAATTAATCACCCTTAACTTAGGGTAGGCTCCGAGCCCCTCAGTGGGGACATATAGTGAACTGATGATGATATAAAACATATATGTCCCTTATATGTAATATACAACTAGCTATTCCCCGCGATTTTGTTCGCGCGGGATTAAAAAAAACTTTTTGTGTTTCCAGACCATGTTCTACATCTATGCCAAATTTCCCGTTCTAGAGATACCTTCTAACAAATATCCATCCATCCATCCATATATCTATACATTGGACATTTTCAGGATATGTCTTCGTATTTACCCGAAACTGTTATAGAGATGCAACCAGATGACATTGACTTTAGAAGATCTTTGGATACTGAGGAAATTTATGTACCAACTGGTAAGAAATGCTGTCGATTATAAAATAACTAATATAATAAATCACGGAATCATTTTAAATGAAAATGTAAATTTAAAAAAATATATTAGTCTATGGGTCATTCCAGACGTTCTATATCTATGCTAAATATCAGCGAGATCCGTAAAGTCATTCAGGATAAGAAACAATAATCCATCCATCCATTTAAACTTGCGCGTCCAGAATATTAGTAAGATTAATACATTTTTAGTAAATGTTCTACATACTTTGAAGTTTTTTTTGCAATCTAACTTAGTAATATTATAAATACAAATGTTTGGGGCTACTAATTAAGTATTTACTAAGGGCAGTAAGTAATGTTAGGAAGAAAATCCAACACCATGCCGGTGTGTCGGCACAACACTAGTCTTACTAAAATGTCGACATGTATGTCCCCTCACTAATCATTCTGACACTTGACTTTGTGAAGCGCGCCATTCGCGCCAAAGGATTCTAATTAATAATGTGTAAAAGAACTAAAAGCTAGTTAGTTAAATAATTTGCAGGTAAAAAAGGTCAAATGTACTTTGACGTGAATGTGACAGAGAATTTGGACCGCAGCGAGCGCGGACCTTGCAATGCTGGCTTTACTTATATCGCCGATGACGATACCTGCCAAGGTCAGTGAAAAAAAAATGTTTTTTTTAATTCACAAACATACTCACAAAACTGTTTTATTTTTGTTGGATTCTTATATTGAACATTTTAAAATATATAATTAGAATTTTGTATTATTGTGTTAAGGCATTTTATTCCTGGAAAATAATTATCGATATCTCTATTCCGGTTACACCACTATATCTGGATTCGGAATATAAAAAGCCACATTTTTAAACAGTATAATGCTTTTCAAATATCTTAGCGGCTCAAGGACATCGCGCCCCCCTCCCCTCCCATCCCGAAGTCATTATACATTGTGTTCTGGTCAGCGACCAGCGCGAACTTAAGCGCTGTCAAGATATTTGAAAAACATTATACATAGTGATGTATAATTGACAGATGTGGACGAATGCACTATCGAGAGCAACCAATGTCACGCCACTCAGTTGTGTACCAACACAGCGGGAGGATACCGCTGCAGCTGTCCCGCGGGGTATGTCGCACTAGCCGCAGGACTGCGCTGTCTAGGTAACTACCCATAAATATTGTTTGATATTGTTCTATATAAATTTCACTTAGCACAATATAGGCTGAAAAATCCGCTACTTACATGATTGTTTTTTAATAGTATGACCATTTTTATGTATTAAATATAGACCTATATAGCCTATATTTAATTTTTACTGTTCAATTAAATTATAAAAAGGACACAAAAAATTTTATTTAAAATCCAGGCACTTTAATCATATTGACATTTTCATTTGTCTCTCTCTCTCTCTCTTATGTAGATATCAACGAGTGCGAGCAGGAGGTGCACGGGTGCGAGTTTGCGTGCGTGAACGTGGCGGGCGGCTACGTGTGCGCCTGCCCCAGACATCTGCGGCTGCATGTCGACAGGCACCATTGTGTGCTTCGTACGTTATATCTTTCTCTCTCTTTCTCTCTTACGTAGATATCAATGAGTGTGAGCAGGAAGTACACGGGTGCGAGATCCATTTTATGTTGCAACCTAATATCATTCTATCTCTTTCTCTCTTACGTATGTATCAACGAGTGTGAACAAGAGGTATAACATATCTATTTAAGGACGAACGCATTATTGCGTTTGACATACGCATTTATACTTTAGTTGTTACCTACTATCCCGTTTGTCATCAAAAATCATTTATTTTTTAATAAATAAATTAAACAAAACATAAAAAATAATAAGATTTTTTCTGTTCCAGCTCCACTTTATCAGAAACCGCTTTCTTTTAACGAGAATTCTGTTTCCGATGATTTTTTAAACTCAGACGTCGACTTCCCAGCAAGCTATACTAAATATAATAGATATTAAATTTATATAGATTAATATTTATTTAATAAAAAACGTAGTTAAATGTATAATTTATTTGTAACTACATTAGAATTAGATATATAGATTTGTATTATTTAACTATCATTATTATAATTATTAAAACAAAGATGTGCAGTTTTATTTATACCTTTTTTACCATAATACGTAACTCTTATTTTCTTTTACTAGTAATAATAAAAACATGAGAATAATCTTTAACAGAATCCCTAATTCTAGTGAACTCTTTTTCTTATAATCTGTGAATCTACAACAATCTGTAATCTATAAGTAACATTTTCTACTCTGTTCTACTATGTTACTAGTAAACAAATTTAAAAATCTACCAATTTTTTTTGGTAGAATCTACTATGTAACAATTGGTGGTAGACGGTCGTTGCAAAATATTTTCTTTATAGGTCCTCGCTTTGGGTCCAGGATTCTCTCGTCATTTTTGCGGGGAATATTCCTGGAATTAAATACCTATTAAAAACTTAGCAAAATATCTTTAATAAACCATATTTCACATCATATTACGAATAAATCCAGTGAAATTTCCGTACTCAGTAATTTAATCAATACTTTACAATCCCTTAGTAATCTTTTAAAGACTTTGAGTGTGGCAGAAAATGTGATTTACTTACTGCCAATAGTTGCCATTTCTTTGCAAACGCATTATATTATTATGACATATCATCAATTCATTCTGCAGATAAGTCCTCTGGTCGTTCACACGTACGAACAACTGAAATAAATTTAATTTCTATTTATACCACATAAGTCCTAGATTCCTATTTATATGATTTGGTAATTTTATACCTTAGACTCCGAGTCCAAGCGCCATTCTTTACTACGTAGTGTACTTATCAAATCCGTTTTGAGTCTTTCAAATCTTTTCACTGTGCGAAGAAGTTCAGCCTGCGCGAAATTATCAAAGAAAATTTAATTAACATAGCAATTACATGAAATAAAAATTGTCTATGAAATACTTACAGGCGTAAGAATGTCAAGATTGATGTTGAGGTCGTCATGCTTCAGTTTACAATCTGAAATCAAAACACATTTGTAAAACATAGGTTTCTCCTATCGAAGAAGTGACCTAATTATTTGAATCTTCTAAACTAAAACATATCTGAATATTGATCACCCCTTATCCTGCCAGAAAGTGCGAAATATAGTGAAAACCTACGTCAATGTAAAAATATTTCGAACACACCTGGTCCACAGACTTTTGCGTTCTTAATTCTTTCTTTCAAAATAGGCAATTGTTCTTTAAGCATTTCTATGGCATCTAGTAGTTGCTTATGTCTTGCGCTTTCCTTCTGCAAGTCGTCATCTTTGTCCCAAGGGTAATCAGATTTTCGTAGTTCCTCTTGCATAGAAACTATTTGTTTCTCAAGTTCTGTATTCTGCCATGCCGCGGCTTCCCTATTTAAGAAAATGTAAAATAAAAATTTGATTCATATTTTTAATGAGTGCGTATAGGGTGTATAGTAAATACCTGTAAGTTTTTTCATGTTCCAGTTCATTTTTAAGGATATCAATTTCATTCTCATTCATTTTAATGTTAAACTCTTTACCCTTTTTTTTGCTCTCTCTGAAATTGATTTAACAATCGTTAGCAACCATCCTATCAGTAGGTTTTGTATGTTAGTTCATTTGAATAGTAGTATAAATATCAAGATATTTTATTTCGTATCATTTATAATTGCTTTTACCTTTCTTCTTTTTATAATTTTTTTTCTTGAAGCGCATCACATAACTACCAAATTTATAACATCTGTGCGAAATTGTCGTCAAATATAATCTACGTCTCCAAACAGCCGGTAAATGTCAAATCGATTCAAATTTTAAAAATTGTTTAAATTTAAAAGTTGGAACGTGAACTTGTAAACTTGTGATCTTTTCATTAGTATTGTAAGTTAATTTAAAACTTAAGAAAATGAGTTCAATAACTTCTGCTTTACATGACGCTGATAAAGCGATAAAGGAAAATGTAAAGAAACAGCGCGAAGAAATATTGCTAATATTGAAAGAGTTAATAGAAAGAGTACAATTATTTTCATGGGCGCTACAGCAAAACTTCATCGATACATTTTATAATTTTACCCCTACAAAAAGCTTAGAAGAACTGAACTATAAAAATCGCAAATTCAACATATTAGCCGACTACAACAAACTATCTGAAGACATAAAGATAGTGAACGAAAAGTCGGAAACTATAAACGAAGAATTTTGTAGTTGTTGTAAGAAATTAGAAAATGCTATGAAAGTTTTTAACAACTTATGTATCGTTGTAGAAGTTAAACAAATTCTGGATACGGCAAGTCATGAATTCGGTAGATATAATTACGTAGAAGCGATGGTAAGTATTAAAAACTTGCGTAAACAACTTACATCGCTTAAATTCGAAGGTAACGCAAGTAAAGCGCTATCGAAACTCAACGACCAGGCAGAAAACCAATTAGCTATGTATGCTGCACAACTTAGCATAGAATGGGAGGATATATTCAGCTGGGAAGAAAAAAAAAGTGTTTATCATCTAACATACTCTTTATCAATACAACAAAGTGATCCAATCCTAATAAAAAATGTCTTAAAATCTCTCTATGCAACAGAAAGATTAAATGCAGAACTTGGTTTATTTTCACATTTCTTTATTGATAAATTACTTCACAATGTGATAAGACATAATTGCAATATTTACACTGAAGATTATTTAGGAGCTTTGGTATTTAATATCAAGATAGATTTGAATGATCCCAACAAACCAAACTTTCAAACTATTTTCAATAACTTAACAGCTGTGTTTGAATTTCTGCAATCAACTTTGGGACAGTTTGAAGATGGTAAAAACTTTATACAAGTTTTTGCCGAGTCGATTAGACAAAATTTTTTCAATAATATAATAAAAGACTGTATTAGAAATAATTTACCTTCATGTGACAGTAGTTATGAAAATTATAAAAATATTGCCTTAGAGTTGGATTCATTTAATAAATTTTTGGTAGATTTAAAATTTGTTGAAGCGAATCAATCACCACTTAACAAGTATATAGAAAACACAGAATGTGTCTTGTATCGTAAAAAGTGTGATAAATTGTTATCTGACGTAAGAAATATGCTCGGTGAAAGCTTGTCATTTGGAACAATCACTGCCGGGAACATAGCTGATATTCCAAATGATTCAGTACTAGATTCAAGTAACTGTCCTAATAGTAAGGAAACCTTATGGGAAATAAATAATCCAGTTTTCTTATCAAAATGTAAAATTTCTAGAAATGTAGAGAAAATTATGTCAATGATAATTGAACATTTGGAAGAGAGTACAAAGCTTCCAGAAGAGTACAGCAGGCAGCTAGTTATGTATATAAGAGATATAGCTATTATGTACCAATGTTTGATACCTAAGAAGTTTAAAGTTAACTTAGAATGTTGTCCATTGGATATTGGTAAGATTATTCTTATGGTATTAGTAAATTTACACTAACAATAATAATTTTGAAGCTAATATTATTTTTAAAATCTTATGATAGCTCACCTCTATACTTTTATAATATTATAAAGATTAAATTTTATATCTTGTAATAAACTCAAAAACTTTTGCTATTATAAATCTTAAGGGAAAGATTCTATTTAATTCTACACAAAATCCGATTTGAAACATCAATCGAAAACATTACATAGTCTTTGTAAATTTTCAATTCTAAACTTAATTTATTTATGTTATTTGTTGTACACAATTTTTCTTAAGTTGTTGGTATCAACAACAACTTAAGAAAAATTGTGTACTTATGTATATTTATATGAAAAAAGTTATTATTTTAAACATTTTCAGCATTATTCTTCAACAATTGCTTCTATCTGGCACATAGTCTGATTGGACCACCGTGGAAAAATATCCTGCCCGCATTTCTAGCAGATCTGCTGACAACAGTTCTGCTGGAATGTATACAAGACCTCAGAGTTGTTGGTTTAGAAAAAATCTCAATATACCTTCAGGCTCAAAGAAATACTATTGTTAGGACAATCGAAGAAACTGGTATGTATATGCATTATTAATAACTTTTTTAAACAAGAAAAGGTAGAAATAGGCTTTTGGATATCACACTTCATCATCGGCTCACTATACATCCCCACTGAGGGGTTCAAAGCATACCCTATGTCAAACACACTGGCCCACTGTGGGGTTGACTTCACACATATTTTTAAATCTCTTCTCAGATATGTGCAGGTTACATCACAACATTGGGATTCAAACGCAGCACCTGCAAATTGCATGTCAAGTGCTTAACCCATGATCTACCAACACTCTCACATCATACTTACCAAATGGAATTTACGTTTTACAAATATCTTAGCACCTCCAAATCACATTCCTTTCCCCTAAAATTGTGTTCTGCTCCGCTATACTTCCGCTATACTTTTTAAGTTTTTTTTTACTTGAATACCATGTGAAATATTTCAGTGTGTAAGTTTTTGTAATCAGCATAAATTATGTTTTTATTTTAGAACTGCCCTGGACACATGATTCATACCAAACATTTGATGCTGCAATAAAAAGTTCTTTAAGTCTTATGAAAGATTTAAACAGCAGCTGGTTTAATGTTCTTCCTATTAAAATGTATGAGCTATCTATGTGTACTTTATCCCAAGCACTTTGCCAAGCAATGTTGGACCGAATATTTGCCGATAGTAAGCCAATTTCTGAAGAATTGGTCTACATGTTGGCCGTTAGATTTGAAGATACGATGGCTGAAGTTACATCATTATTTGATGAGGATGTTGAATTGGATAATAAAATAAATATATGGGTGAAGTTCAGTAAAATGCCACAACTTTTAAAAGCTCAATTACTCGAAATAATAGATTTGTGGCGTAATGACAAACTTTTACTACAGTGTTACGCGTGTGAAGAGATCCGGCAAATTGTCAAATTGAGATTCCCAGATGATAAATATAGACTAAAAATATTGAAAGAGATACAATAAAATATAATTTTTTTTATCCCGTTGCGTTTTATTTCCTCTCACCTGTAAATTAAAAAAGTCCATTGAAAAAATGACGATCTATTCGGTACGTACGTGATTTATGATACACTAGCTGTTGCCCGCGACTCAGTCTGCGCAGAGTTAAAAAAAAACATAATTAGTAACCAATGTGTTCTTCCAGACTATGTTATATATGTATGCCTAATTTCGTCGAAATCCGATCAGCCGTTTTGTAGATACCTTCAAACAAACATCTAAACATTCATCATCATCAACCTGCCCTTATCCCTATCTAGGGTCGGCACAGCATGTACTACTCCTCCATACATCTCTATCAGCCGTCATATCCGAGTCTACCCCCTTCTTACGCATATCCTCTTTCACACAGTCATTCCATACTTTTTTTGGTCTTCCTCTACCCTTGTAGCTATCCACAATCAATCTCATTACTTTTTTGCTTATATCATCATCATCCCTCCTCATAACATGTCCAAACCACGCTAATCATCTAAACATTCGCATTTATAATATTAGATATATTTCCCGCTTTTTTTCCAGTCCAATACTACACTTAATCCTAAAAGTATACCATATTCTCCTGCTATGATAGTATACGTTGTTAAATCAGTAAAAGGAGTTTAAAACTACTATAATGCGATAACAATGTCATAATTATTCAAATATAATTAAAAATCAATACATTACATAATACTTACTTTCAAGTGTATCGTGCAATTGAATAACAAACGCATGTCAAATAATTTAATTCTATTTGCGTGTAAAATTAACAGGGTTGTGCAATTAACAGATGTGCGGAACAAAGGAAGTAGGAAGGTTTGGTAACTCGGTACTTATGTTACATTTAATGAATTCTCTGAACAGGCAATAGGTTCGTAATGTAGATGCATGTAACTTTAGTATTCTTGGATAACTCAAACAACAATAATTTAAAAAAAGAATTACTGCAAAAATTATTTGTGGACAGTTTTGATGTTATTTTTTTATCATTAATTAATATTATTATATAATAGAAAATGAAGTTTTATGAAAAACGATAGAACTCTGAGCTTAGTTTTGGGAATCATGAAGAGAATTAATTATCTACTTTGTCCAATTATCAAGGATAAGTTTTAGAGTAGTGTACATTCCTCAAATTACTTTAATATCTCCCACAATAAGTTAAGCTGCTTCACAAGCTCAATGCACCTAGATTCTAGTTGCTCCATAAAGACAACGCATTGCTTTTGGACTTAGTCCAATATAATGCCTACTGTTCTATATTACTTTCAACTAAATGTAATAAAATGGAAATACATTAGACAGAGTTCGATTGTCATTTTAAATTATTAAATTAATATTTTATATAATAGTTTATTTACTAAAAGTAATCCAAGTTTGTTCAGTGAAAGTGGATGTTCCCGCCCAACCGTATGCTATTTAAGTGAGTGACGCTTCCTTGGACGCAGCAATTCGTATGTGTTCGCTAGAGGCCGCCGCTCCACACTATGCAACAATTATCGGTAGGTACAACACTAGGAATTAAAAAAATATAATTAAAAATGAGCGCGAAATCAAACGTCAAACTGCCAGTGAGGTGTTTAAGTGAAAGTGTTTTTTTTAATGGTGAAAAAATATATATGGTGATATTTATGTGGTGCCAGTGTTTATACAATTAATTTAAAGGATATTTTACTTGAATAAAAAGGTAATAGATGTCCTTAGAAGAAGAATTAATTTAGTCAATTTTTCATTTTATTATAGTGTTTTAGTGTTAACAAAAAAAAATTAGAATTAAGTAATATAAAAATCGGTAGTCATAGCTATATTAAAAAAATAGGGTTGTGGTTACAATTTTTTTTATTATTATATAATTGGAACATATAATTACTAACGTTCAGAAACATCGTCGGTTGATGTCACATTTTTTAGATTAACATTATATTTATTTTGTTGCAGACGGCATTCCTGATCATTGCGTTAGCGATCGTCGTCAATGATGGTGGCGCGACGGTACAGAACAAAAACGGAACCGACCAGCTAGCCGAGGAGGCGAAGACTAAACTTGTTACTATCATAAACGGCCCAAAGTACGTAAACCTAACCTCGACACCTAAGCCCCAGCCGTCGCATCCCTCAATAACTAACTACACTTATAAACCAGAACTGAGACCACCCAGCAAACCGCCAATCAAAACCTCGCATGACGCAAAGAAAAAACTACTAGAAATACCACAACAGTACTACGGCCAAATACAAAGATTGCCTACACAAAACTCATACCCCATATCACCACATAAATTACGCAAATACCAAAAATCAATCTACCGATTTCCACGAGTTATACCACTACCCGGACATCATTATTACAAGACTCAAACTCCAAGAACTCAGACTCAGACTCCAAAAACCCCACTCGTCTTTGCCGCATCGACCGTCAAGTCATTCGTAGTAAAAAGTCCAAAATTCAGTTTACCAGTACAGACTATTAACGGCATAAGATCAGATTGGGTCAGACCACCGCCAATATTTAATTACACCACAACAACGACCACGACAACCCCGACGACTACGACTCGAGTGTTGAGGACAAAGAGGATATGGCCAAAGAGAATTCTTGAGAAGATGAACGCGACCGCTAGCAACACGACGGAGACATCAAACACGACTGAAGCGAAAACAATTAACTCAACAGACCACGCACTATCAGATAGCACACATATACGATTTAATTTTCTTAAAACAATAAATAATGAAGCTCAATCCACAACAACAGCTCAACCCACCACCCGAGGCTATCGACGATTTACAAGGGGTCCTAAGAAAAAAGTTACAACACCGAGCTTCGACGAACTTGAAACTAATGACTGGATACCAATAATACCGACGCACTATCCCATTTTTAAACAAAAGGCTCAAACGCCCATAAGCAGACGATCAGACGTTTTTTATCCACAACCAAAATTAACGCACACACCGAGAAAACAGACGCTATTTCTTAACTCGTACGGATTTGTCCCGGCCACTAATACCGCTAAAACATTAACACCGGTGATTGAAAGGAAAAAGATGGTTTACTTCAAGAGGAAACAACTGAATCCCTATCTATATTCTGCTTACAGTTCGCGGGGGTTGCACTCACCGACGCCGTTTATAGTCGCCGGCCTGCACACGCAGCACGCCCCCTCCCCGCCCAAAGTTTTCACCAAAATTAAGCACCATCACCATCATCACCACCACAGATACGTCAAAACGGTGGAAAAACCCATCAAAGTTCCGTACAAGGTGGAAGTGCCTAGACCTTATCCGGTCGAAAAGAAAGTACCAGTTCCGGTGCCATTTGAAAAAGTTAAAATAGTGGACAGACCCTATCCGGTGACTGTCGAAAAGAAGGTTCCATATCCAGTAGAGATTAAAGTTCCACATCCTGTACCGGTCAAAGTTGTAGAGAAGGAATATGTTCCAAAACCATACCCGATCATTCATCACGTGCCGGTAGTTAAGGAAGTCAAAGTCCCTCACCCGGTTCCGTACCCGGTAGAGAAAAAAGTGCCTTATCCGGTTCACGTTCGAGTGCCCGTGGATAGACCTGTTCCATATCCGGTCGAAAAGAAGGTACCTTACCCCGTCCCAGTAAAAGTTTTCGTGCCTAAACCTTATCCGGTTGAAAAGAAAGTGCCGTACCCAGTTGAAGTAAGGGTGAAAGAACCGGTTGAAGTTATAAAACATGTAGCTGTAAAAGTGCCAGTGCCACAACCGTATCCAGTAGAAGTACCACGTCCGGTACATGTGACAGTCGAGAAAAGAGTACCTTATCCAGTGGAGGTTGAGAAAAGGGTTCCAGTAGAGGTATACATACCACAAAGGGTAGAAGTTGAGAAACGTGTACCGGTGTACGTGCCGAAACCTTATCCGGTTGAAAAGAAGGTTCCGTATCCGGTCAAAGTTCCTTATCCGGTGAAAGTGCCGGTTAAAGTTCCGGTTAAGGTGCCAGTTGAGGTTCCGGTTTTTATTCATCATCCATATATTTACAGCAATGACCGTTCTTTCGTTAGTAAGGGAGGGGATAACTTTATTCGAGAAGCAACCAATTCTGAGGAGACTCCGACTAATGCTCCCGAGCATACAGTAACAGTTCACGGGAATACTGGTTTCACAGGGTTCAAAACAGTAACCGAAGATGGCGTAAGCTCAACCTCAACTTCGACGGAAACTCCATGACGTTAGATAATTTATTTATATTGAATATAAGACTCGTTAGTTTACAATCTAGTTTTTTAGTATCTAATAGGAACAAAAATGTGGTGCACATGTTTTTTGTTGGGACGCTGTGTGTATGAGTAAATGAGTGATGCTGTGATACTATTCTTTTGTTATTTTTTTGACTCTTCATATTTAACACATTAGCTGCCATGTCGGACTACATGTCCGACAAGCTAATGTTTCAATCGGGCCGTGTCGGACTATGTATCCGACAAGCCATACTTCCATTCAACACCTCGCTGTGGCTTTTAAATCGAATTGTTGTACACAGCGTGACTCGCAAGGCTCCATTAAAATGGTTTTGGACATTTTTTTTTCGTTTTTCGAAAAATCATTCTGGCACCTAACGTGTTAACTTTACAAAAGAGTGTATTTGAAACGTCACATCTCTATGAACTTTATTCTTTCCCAAGATTTCTTAGCTTATAATTTCACGTTACATTGTCGACGAAGTTTTCGCCATTATTCAGAACTGACCTGAGATCCCTAACTATAGAATTCTAGTTAAACGATTAAGATTATTTGTTCCTGGTACAATAAAAATGTTACATACAGGTAAGTAACATTTGAAGCGTGCATCTTAAAAAACATGTATAGAACTTTTTCTTTCGATAGCATTGCGCGTTTACTTAGCACTGACGCATGTTGCGTTTTAGCAAACCAAGTGGACCGAATCAAAGATTACTTTCATTCAACACTTCCTATTCCTCGTTCAATATTTTTGACGCTTCAGTGATCAGAAAGAAAAGATTATCATTGTAAATAGAAAGAACACGTAAGAAATTAATCGATTCAGATATGAGAATCCTCTATGTTGGCCGAGTTGCCAACCTTCAAGAGAAAATACTCTTTTCTCAAGCTTCTATATTCTACTTTCTTCCGATGATTTCTAAGTGATTCACTTCGTTATTATGCAGAGAATACTATATGACTAATTACATGAATAAAAATAAATTAAAAATTGCGGACATTAATTCCATTATCAAAAGATATTTGCTTTACCATTTTTGATAAATACTGCCTTCAAAATATATTCAAATTAAACAAATTATAACCATAAATTAATATTAATTTATTGTAAATTTACGTAACTTTTTAATAGCATTCCCACCTTTTACTCGTAGCTTGTTATTTCAAATAAAATATTGGACATGTATGCTTACCATAAATGTATTATAAATTCATAACAAAAATGTTATAATATCTTTATAGTTATTTAACTTTAACAAACTGCCATTCCAACTCGTAAATTCCAACAGAGTTCTGGTTTTTTTCATCATAATCCACCCATTCCTTCTCGGAGAGGTCAACATCTTCAAACTTTTTTCCTGTGTAACATAAAGCATATCACTAGAATTACTAAATATTGTTCATCATATTGTAGTTATCCTTCTTCGGATGTTTGAAATATCAACTAGTTTATCTAGACTTTTTTTTTAAAATGGACAAGACTTGACATTAGTGTAATTAATTTACTAATATTATAAATGCGAATATTTAGATGGATGGATGGATGAATATTAAAAGGTATTTCTGGAATAGCCCATCATATCTCCCTGTTTTTTGGCATAGATGTAGAACATACTTTGGAAGAATTTTATACAACATTGAATTTGATAAAAATCTTTACATTTCCAAAAAAAAGATGTGAAAACTTAATAATTAATGGGGAGAGAAAGACATGCATATTATGAGTATCAAATACTATAAATCTTTTATTTTCATAAGAGAAGATTAAAAGTTTAATTTATATGTACTTACCATCATCTTCAGCCTCGGCAATCCATCCAGACTTTGGTTCAAAGTCAACAGGCTCAACTCCTCTACAGTCAAATATTACTATTGTTTTGAATTTATTCACATCATTGCTTGTGAAAACTCCTGGAAACATTTATTTCAATTTACATGAACAGAGATTCTAATATGAAAGTTGTAGTATGAAGCAAGGAAGTAGTTATCAACTTTGCTACCAGAACTATGTTATCAAACTTTTATAAAGCTATAAATGTTTTCTTACTTGATTAAAAAAGTTTAAATGAACTGTTAAATGTAACTAAGTAAAACTTATCTTAGATCTTTCATACACATAAATGTACACTAAAAAGATAGTTAAGAAATCCTCACAGTTTTATAGGTTATTGTATAACTGTACCATTGCTTCCTTCAATAACATCCATGCTGTTTTCCCTGGAACATAACTTGCATTTAATTAACAGGTTTGTTTCAGATCTGTTATGTTTCTGTGGAACTTTCTCGGCTTCTGTGAGATCGTGAAACTTTTCCGACACCTCGCCGCAACTTCCACATTTTAATTTCAAAAACCACTGATAATACGGGTGGTTGGTATATAATTTTTCAACACATTCTAATGTCGCTTTAATTTGAAGCGCTATTTTCACCATAGTTCACAAATATTCTTGATAACTCAGCTTTATTAACACTTTTGTAATGTAATTATTGAAAAAACAACAATAAAATTGGAATCAGATATGGAAATGTCAAAGTCAACTTGATGTTCACGCTTGTCTTTACGCAAAATAATCAATCCAAATTCTAATTATTTATTTTTCTACCATTAAGTATTCTAATTTTATATCGAGAATTAATTGTTCTACTAAAATTGTTTTGCTGTTTTAAGGATTTGAAACCTTTAACCTTGCATTAGTAGCACGAGAATATTTTTATACATTAAGCTAGGATAATATTAGGATTAAAAAGTAATCAACAAATTATTTTTTGTATATTTTTATTTTTTACCATACATAATGTACAGATCAAATAACATTCATTAGTTCATATTTTACTTCATTCTTCTATCGTCGATATAGCATAATGCATTCCAGATTAAACATTTTAACTTGAGAATGGAACATCAATTTTGTGAATGTTCGAAGCGTAAGTTTATTTTTTTTACTGGATATTCTATGTAGCTATTAAAAGAATTGCTGTTGAAAAAGCCTGGTTTTCTACTATATTTTCAAGCTCGTTGCAATGGCGCTACTTTTATGCTATTGCCTTGTGAATCTGTATGTAGAGTGAGGCCCATTTCCTGGAGCACCTCGTTGTCTACTGGTCCTTGGAGAGTCATTCTTGATATAACCTCCTAGAATAAAAATTTATTCTTTAAACTACCGAAACATTCATACAAAAAAGATACGATAATACAATTTTGAAAATTCGCCATTAAGCTACGTAATTTTTTTTTAATTACTAAAACTGTAAAGGTCATAAACATTACTTGATATTAGATTTGCTCTTAGAATGTTCTCTGTTGATCTAAAATACTACTTTATAATAATTTACTTTACCTGATTTTCTGGACAATTTTCACACAAATTACGTACTGCGAAAATCACCCATTGCATAATAACTGTAATTTTATAAGGAAACAGAATTGATTTCTTTAAAAATACATAATTATTTTTTTTTAATTAATTGTTTAACTACAATATATTAAGACGATTTTTCTCTAGATGACTAGCTGCACAACTCATTTACATAATTCCTTATTAGTGTATTGACTTATTTAACTTATTACAAAAAGGATACGAGGATTTCGCGCGTCGATGTTACAGCAATCTAAAAGCACGGGAATAACTTCCAATTCTCGCATCTGAAAAATAAAAAAAATGTCCGTAATTTATTTATGCTGTCTTAGAACAATATCCAAGTTCAAAACATAATTATCTCTGTTATACGTATGTAAGGATATGACAAGATTTTAGTCTCAGAAACCAACAGTAAGTATACATGACATAACCTAACCTAACGGTACATCAACTGAAAATAGTGTTGTTAACATTGCCATGCAAATGTGAATTTACGCTGAAATTCAGAAGACACGTATTTTTACCTGTCTCTTGTTCTCCTGGTGCTTCCAGCAGAGGTTGGCGAGTGTCCTCACGAGCGCCGCCTTGAAGCCGAATGCAACATGCCGCTCCACTGTCTCCACACAAGTCACTGCCTTCTTTGGTGTGTTCATGTCTATTGCCCCCAATCTTTGTGGATAAACAACAGATATATGAAAAATAGCAAGCATTTTAGTGCTATTTAAAATTATCACCTAAATAAACACAACAAAGTTATTTAAAACTAGCAATTGCCCGCGACTAAAAGCGCGTTAGCACGGAATAAATATAGTCTACCATAGACAGTGTGGGTTCCTAAAAGTGAAAGAATTTTTCAAATCTGTTCAATAGTTTAAGTGCCTATTCAATGCAAAACAATCAAATCTTATCTTTTTATAATATTAGTACAGAGTTTAGATGAAGACCATAGTGAGTTCAAGTTTTTTTTAATTTATTCACATTTCAAGGACAATCCCTCAAATGTGTAGAATCTTTTTTTATTCATTTTAAATAATAATATGTCTTCGGCAATTAAAACTATAAGAAAATAAATAAACTAAGGGTAAAAACGTTAAAAGACATTTTGAATTACAAAAAATAAATTAATAAGAAACTGTACCTTGTTTTTTGTGTTTCTGGCGAATCAATTTTAACAGATGGTATTTTAGCTGATGGATTCTCTTCCGCTAATTTCACTTCTTTAACCGGTTCCGTTTTCTTTTCAACATTAGTTGAGTCTCCGCGCGTTTTCTCCGATGATATACCTAAGATCTTCTGTAATTGTTCGCTGAGATCAAAATCTGTTGATAGATTTTGACTTTTCTTAATCTCCTTTGGTGTATCGGGTGATTGTTTCTGTGAATCATTATCTGGTACAGCATCTGATAATGGTGGAGATATTTCACTTGGAGATGCTTTAACTTCTTTAGCTTCAGTCGGCATATGTATTTCAGTTGGAGGATCATTCGGTGAACTATCTTGTGAATCTGTTCTACTACCTTCTTGCAATTCTAATCTTGGTTGTAGACCTACTGGGATCACTTCGGCTATTGTATTCATACTACCAGAAGGTGATTGAGAATCCATAATCAAAGGAGGTTCATTATCATCACCAATATCTATTTTATGTTCTAAACTGATCCTTCTAGTTGGCATGGAGATGCGTTCGTCAGTCTTTGGTACGGAACTACTTCTTTTGAATGCGACTTTAGCCAAATCATCTATTTTAACATTTGGATTGAAATCCGGACTTCTTTTAGGTTCGGGCATTGATTCCATGAATTTTAAATTATCTAATGCGTTCAATGTATCTATTTTATCAAGGAAAGGAGGATTTTCATTACATTCAAAGTATTGTTCGCTGCTCTCTGATTCCGTACATTCGGATGTCGTTTCGTTACAAGATAACATGTTGTCGGCTGAATCATTTTTACATAGCGGAACTGAAAATTTAAAAAAAAAAAAATGTTTTAAGACGATAACTTAACTATTTTTAGACATTATTAGTTAGAATCCTTTCGCGCGAATGGCGCGCTTTCATTACCATGTCATGTGTCAGATTGATTAGTGGGGGATATAAACGTTGACAATTTAGTAAGATTAGTTGCGGCAATACACCGGCATATTGTTGGATTTTCTTCCAAACACTATAATTATGCGAAATTTTGGTATTTAATTAAAATACTACACTATTTATTTGTACTTACTTTCTGGTGGAACGTTGTTGGACGATATATTTTCATCATTGATTAAATGTTTGCCCGTAGCTTCATAAAGTTTGTTTATTGACGAAAAGAAATTGTTACTCTCTTTACCTAATTTGTGAATGGCACGAAGAAGAACTGAAAGAAATGCGCTGTATTAAATTAAAATGACTAAACTACTGTAATGTATTGTTGTACTGTAAACAAAATTCCTGCAAAATACTTTTTAACGTTTTTACCCTTATCGTAAGTAAATAAAAATGATTACTATTTCACTAACTTTACGGTTGTAATTCGAAAGGCATCCGACTAGCCGGCCGGTTGAGATTTGACAGTTGACGTTTATATTTGTCGTTATTGTGCACGATATTTACATGTGCAATTAATTCAATACTAGCTGTTGTCCGCGACCCCGTCCGCGCCGATTTAAAAAACAAACATAATAAGTAGCCTATGTGTTCTTGCAGACTATGTTCTACAAGTGTGCCAAATTTCATCAAAATACTTTCAGCCATTCCGGAGATACCTTGAAACATACATCCATCCATCCATCAAACACTTGCATTTATAATATTAGTAAGATAAAAAATATGTAGTAAGATATTATTAAAAATTATACTTACAAGCACAATTGATGAATAGAGATGTGTCATTCTGCAAACAATCCATATAAGCATCCATGCTGGATGCCGTTGCAATAATTTCTAATAGAAAAACCACTTCTTGAGGTTCAATGCTGTTTACATATTTATCAACAGTTTTCAATATGCAATCCGATTTACTTTTAAACTCGTGTGCCATAAACTTAACAAAATTAACTGACACATTTATATCCTGTGATTCGGTTGACATTAAAATATTATATGCCAGATTTAAAACGAGCATTCTGCACTCGGGATCTAATTTAGAATATAACCTTTCAATGTATGTGTTTTCTACACCGATAAGGTATTCTATAATTAAATGTGGATATTCAATGTTGCCATTATTGTACATGTATGCAAGTGAATTAAGTAAGGATACATCATCTGGTAACACATTTGGTTGACCTAAGAGTATGTTGTAGACTATCATAGCTGCTGCGGAAGCTATTTTATCATTTTGTCCAATCAAACAGTTCAAGATGATTGTATCAAATTTGTTCCATATCATGATTTGATTAAAAGGATTGTTAACAACAAGGTTGCCTAGAGTTTGTATTAGTACTGTCATGCAGCCTTCAAATTTCTTTTGTAATTCCTCATTAAGTATTTCTACACTTGGATGTTGAAACTCTGTGGCCAATATGAGCATAGAATCAAGAATGGAGAGTTCTTTTGAGATATAAGTCTGCATTTTGGTGCCAGCAGCTGCACATGACCGGACTAAGCGAAGGCATTGCTCGGCTACTGCAAGTGTGCTGCGGTTGTATGAAGCTTGTTCTACATCCAGCCTCATGATGTGCAGAACCTCTGCTATCAATCGTAATGTGTACTCTGAGGCTTTTTTACTGAAATTAAAATTTGAAGTTTGTTAATTTTGATATAATTATAAGATCTGATTTGTTTTCTGTTATTACAGTACTTCTTAAAAATGTTTAAAAAGATTATTGTTGTACTATTTAGTAATAATAAGTTGCCCAAATACTAACAAAGGTTTACTATAACATTAATAGCATTAAACAAAATTAATCTAATTAAAGTCTTGAAGCGAAATAACATCACCATTTAATAACATACTAAAGTTTTAAGAAAATCTGACTTTTACTATTACTGTTTTATATATTTAACATTGAAAAATAAAGAAATGTATGGTATGAGTGAAGAGGAACAAGACCGATAATATTTTTGTCATATAAAGCATGGCAGTTTCAATACTGTGAGTCAATTAACCCTTAAATATAGCGAATTTTACAAAAGATATGCAAGTCTACAAGCCAAATTACTGCATAAACTTGCTCATCTACAAAACTGTAATTTTTACGGTCTTAATCTTCCAGTTTCTGCATCTCTCGATAACTGTGCTTCTGCTCGTAACATTTCCTCCACCGCATCCCATTCTCCGGTTTCTAATTGGAAATTAATAAGCTTGGCGTCTAAAAGAATTTCCTCCGCAAACCAAACACTTTTATCTCGTGACATTGTTTCAAAATCTACTGTTAATAAGCACTTCTTTTACTTAAATTTGTAAATTTACTTATTAAAAGAAAGAAATTATCGGAGTCAGCAATAATCAACAACAAAAATCACTTCCAGTCAGCTGTCAAAATCAGAAGGCTGTCATCAAACTGACATTCAGACGACATGCAGGAGAGAAGTTTTACAGATGTTACAAGAAGCTTAATTTTAATGATGGGTGCATATCACTCTATTTTATTTCATATCGTTCATTGTAAACGAAATTATAGTAGTACCATTTTTAATAGGTTTGTAAAATTTAATTGCTGTTTTCGAAATTAAAAGGCTACATTTTAAAAATTAGTAGTATATTGCAACCCTCATACATATCTCGCTCCCGCCCCCGCTTCTTCTCAGTTTGTCGAATGTCGAACGAATCACGAATTCACGAATGAAATGAAAGAGAATGAAAGGAATAAGCGGCTAAAAGGGCATTTCTTAGTTGAATTTTGATCGTTTTTTATGTGAAAAGTGTATTTTTCCGTTAACAATTACGCCAGTGGATAACTTATTTATTATTTGTGTTAAATGTTCTATGAAGTGCTGTTTGTAATTATGTGTTGTTTCGAAGCGTTGGTGTGTCGAATTTGTGAGTGATCTAGGTGGTATCCTGGTTCTGTGCCGTGCAGAGCAATAATGGTTCAACTTCCCGCTGGCATCGTTGGAATTTAAACAATTTGGTGAGTCATCAGCGTTTGAAGTTGTCGAAACAAGGTGAAAAAAAACGGCGGGTGTTCCGAAAATATCAGGAATGGTTGTTTTGTATTTAGTTCGGCTTCCTATAGATAAACATCACAATGTGCGCTATTTTTATCAATAATGTACAATTTGTTATCTTTCTGTTGCCTCAGTGTTGTCTTTTGGTTTATAATTTATTATAGAGTCTTCGATTTGTAAAAGTCTAATGAACAGGAATTATTGCGTATATAAACATGCTTTATCGTAATAACAACTTGTTAAGAGAAAGATTACAAACATAAGATAAAGTTATATTGTTTTAATCAGACAGTAATAGTTTCAAATCTAACAGTTATACACAAATAAAGTTTGTTAAATGTTTTGACTGTAGATTTCAATCAAGTAATTATAATAACTTCTAAATCTTATAGGCAAATAACTTATGAATATTGTTTAGAAGTATATAATTTAAGCTTAAGTAATAAACTATAATTAAAATGAAACTTGATTCAAGATGTGCATAGATGTAATCACATATTTAAAAAAAAAGAAAGACGAACACCTAAATTCCTGGGTCAAATGAGTTTGTAGAGATTTCTGATAATACATTGGCAAGCAAATTTAGAAACAGGTTTTTTTTATAATTTGAGCACCTAATATTTTTCTTTACCTGAATTAAATTATAATTGATAAAACAAATTTCATAATTGTAAATAAATTTAAATAAGAAAGCAACCAGATTGAATGCGGCTATAAAGGTAGAGGAAGACCAAAAAAGTATGTATAGATTGTATGAAAGAGGATATGCATAAGAAGGGGGTGAATTCAGATATGACAGCTGATAGAGATCAATTTACTTAGATATAAGACCAGGTTAATATGTTCAATACAAACAATATATATTTAGTTTTTATCCTTTACATAGACAAAGCTATGGGCAACAGGTTAGTTGTTGAATAAACTTTGTAACAATGTTTTTAATATTTTTAATTTATCTATTATAATATGATTGTATAAGGTTATACAAAGTAGTAGACAAAGGTTATATTTATAGATATTGTTAAAACATAGGATATTAATATACTTACTCCGCTGGCGCATTGACCCAAAGTGAGTCTTGTCCTCAACAAGAGACAGGAGGATCGGCTATCATTTTAATTATTATAAAACCTATTTAAAATCAATTTTTTCTTTTATCACTTATAAATTTCAATTTTATCAATTTTAATTTTTTTTAAAAACAAACTAAAGGTTTTGTATACTTATGTGAAGTATTATAAATTTATAAAAACCATACTATGCCAATAAAAATGTATCTAATACAAAATACAAGACATTGACTAAGTTGTTAGCAAGTTGTAAAGTTTTGTTTTTAGAAACTTATCATTGTGCAAGTTGTGAAAACAATGCAACACAAACTTTCATGGAACTACAAATTGTTATGAAGTGTCTTCAGTTGCAAGATATGTTGATTTCAACTGAGATTATTATGAGATTCTAAGAAATTTACATTACTTATGTGTTAACACTAGCTGTTGCCTGTGACTTTGTCCATGTGGAATTAAAACAAAAACTTAATTAGTAGCCTATGTGTTCTTCCGACTGTGTTCTACATATATGCTAAATTCCAGCAAGATCCGTTGAGCTGTTCTGGAGATACCGTCTAGCAAACATCTGCCCATACATACAAACATTCGCATTTATAGGATTAGTAAGATCATAACAAGGAAACTATTGTATGTTTCTAATAATTAAATTCAAAAACTACTTTACGATTTCCAAATTACTTAATCATTCACAGGAGACATAGGCCATATTTAAAATTATTATATAAAGTAAAAAAGGTAATCCGTCTGTAGTGTGAAAGTGTTAAAACTTTATTAAGAGTCAAAATCTCTTTGCTATACAAATTATCCAATTCTATCTTCATAATATTTTGTAGTTATCTTTCATACCAAATTTGTAAGATGCCTTCTTTCATATTGTAGTAGGTTCTTGTTTGTAGCCATTTCTAAGTCCACAAGACTTGTACAATCCTTGGAGTCTGACATTACCTAACAGTACAAATAACAACTTTTTTTTTTCTTGTTCGGAAAGCAAAGAATTAAAGGGTTGTTGAAAGTATCAGCTTGTATGCATACAAGATTTTTAATATCACTGATCTATGTTTCTTATGCATTCTCGGAAGTGCAACAGATTATGTGTGAGGAAATTAGTTTTTGCTTTCATAATGTGATACCGGATGTGGATTAAATATTACGATGGATACTGCGACTTTGTACATAATTTCCGTTCTAAGAGCACTTTTAGACAACATTCAATGGGGAGAAACACTGAAAGCTATAAGTAGGTGGCGCTAGCGATAAACATGGGCTGTCATCTGTCAAATGTTTTGTACGTCACTCTGGCTATTTAATTGTTTTTTTTTCATTTATTATTAACAGCCGCGTTGTGAAACGGTCTGTCTTCGACTATATTTGCAAACCAATACGACCTAGTACATTATGTTTGTTTGATGTGTGAGTAGATCTGCCAATTTTCAATAAACGTGGATTAATATGGTGCAACGTATTTTTCCGCAGCTGTAGTTTTAATCGATGTCAAGGCACTGGTTATAGTTATAGTTAGATGATGCAACTCACCCTTACGGACGACGAAAGACAAAACAAAAACGATCATTACTCACGACGAAGCGAGTGACTTTTCATTAATGTAAAACTCGTAATTCTAAAATTCCTGGGAAAGTCCAGCCAATCCCTGAAAGGTGACAACCCTATGTATAAGCCGCTTAGTCATTTAATAAATGGACGGTTATTGAATTAACTACGGACCCTTCCTGTTTTAGTACGAGTAATTGTCAACATTTTTCTATCGAAATGTGTCACCCTATTAAGTATTCTAAAAGGGGCAATTAACACAACTTTCGTAATAAACGAATGATGAAAATTCTATGAAATTCTGTCCAATGTTTCTGAAGCTGGATCAAAGGACATGATCATTTCAAAGCGGAGGCATACCCACTAAACCTCTCTGTTCCTCCAACGCATCGGGACGGGGCCAAGGGCACGCTTTCGCTCTCCTCCGCGACAGGGGTAGACAACCTAACAAACTATCCCTTGGTTCATAATATAAAATTCAAAAGTAATACGAACATTTTTAGGAGCATAGATTTTACTGCAAAAATTGTTTTAATCGATGTTTGTTTAAATGTATCTCCAGATTGGCTAAACAGATCTGTATGTAATTTAGCGTAGATGTAGAACATAGTCTGGAAGGACACATAGGCTACTAATTTTTTTTTTTAATATCCCGCGTACGGAATCGTACGTAATAAATGGAGTAGCGGATATGGTGGCATTACAATTTGGCAGATGTTTATACCGGTAGTTGCATGCAAATGGTACAATAAAACACTGGCTTGTGATAAAAGAAGAAAGAAGTCATACGTTTCCTTTTTGAGTTTGTGTATAACCATGAGATTGCATTGGAAATACATTCACAAAAATATGTTTTATGTAAGAAACTCTGAAAACTCTCAGAAACTTGTATATTTTTTGGCAGAAATATAATACGAAATATAACGAAATATAATAATCATACTTCTTCCAGAACTATTAGATAAGATTCTTTGCTATGATATGAACGTCATGTGATATAAATATTTCATGTATAATTTAGCAAAATATCTACATATAAAACCTTACTGCGTCTGTTTGAACAACTCATTATAATAGTTATTAAGAAAATGAGCTATTATACATTTATACATGAAAGTCAAAGTAATCATATTGCAGTTCTAGTTGTCGCCCGCGACTCCGCATGCGCGGATTTAAAAAAAACTTAATTAGTATAGTTCGTCCTGACTATGTTTTACATAGTGTAGCCGTTCTGGAGTTACCTTCTAACAAACATTAAAACAAACATCCATCTAAACATTCGTATTTATAATATTAGTTAAATTTACAGTCCAAACTATTCGCCCCCTTAGAAAAATCTTGATAACGGTACATATAATTTTATGTACATACAAGTACATTTCTATGAACTGTGGGTTAAACGACATAGTATAAATATAATCAAGCTTACGTATTCTCTTGTATAGTACATTGCACTCGACAGCTGGTAAAAAGTGACAGATCGTCACCATCCAGTAGAATGTAACCGTGGAATCCTGCTGTAACAAGTCCGCTCTGAAATACGTAGCCAATGTAAATCTATGTTAATATAATTAATCTTGAACATATACGTATTTATGATATTTACATAACCACTATTAAATGTCTATGCCTAGTATCTAGATTTTTTTATTATTTTAAAGCAGTTTTAATACAATGAAAGATGATACGGCTTGTCAATAATTTGTACTCGTTTCCTTGTCCCAGGTTCCGAACGGTATGGATGAAGGTCTACTGAACGATCTACTGGAGTGCTCCGTGTGCTTGGAGAGGCTCGACACCTCCTCGCGCGTCTTACCCTGCCAACACACATTCTGTTTGAAGTGCTTGAAGGTTTGTACAATAGATAAGATCTTCTTAAGATCCTTTTCGTTTAAAACCGCTTTAGTCATTGAAAGAGCTTACCATATAAAGAATACAAGATCAACCCACAGTTTCTGAGACAAAAATCCCCTTTAAAAATATATTGTTGTATCTGTTTTGTCAAAAATGAAAGAAAATGATGACGATACAGAGATTTTGGTCTCAGAAACCAACGGTAAAACAATCGATAAAACTTAACGCTATTACGCACTCAAAAATGTTAGTCGTGATCGAATCAACCCGACTATTGCCATGTAATCTCCAAACATAAGTTTAATAAACACATCTTTAATGGAACACAGCAGCAGCAAAGAACTATCAGTTCTTACTTTAACATGTTAGCTTCCAGAATGATTTTTCGAAAGACGAAAAAAATTGACCCGCTGTTTATAAGCTTTATGGGGCCTTGCGGATTACGCTGTATACAACAATTCAATTGAAAACCGTCCGACAAGCCACAGCGAGGTGTTGAATGGAAGTATGGCTTGTCGGACTCATAGACCGACACGGCCTGATTGAAACATTAGCTTGTCGGACATATAGTCCGACATGGCAGCTAACGTGTTAAATATATCACGAGATGATTAACTTATTTATACTCTAATATTAGTAGACTTACTTATAACTATCCTATAAATAAAAAGAGGTCATTGACTTAATTATTATGTCAAAGTATAATGTACACAGTAATGTAATTTATCTTATTCTTGTCTAATTTAAGTAGGTAGTTGTAGATTATTTGACAGCTATGTTATCTGTAAGCAATATATCATAGTGATGTATGCAGCAGGAAATACATAATGTACCATTAGGCCAGCTGATACGTATGTACTGTACGCATCTTAACTACTTTTAAATTAGGACGGCATTGTATAAACAACCGTCTCTACCGGTACAATGCTATGGAAAAGTGTTTATTCATTAATAAAAATCCGTACAATCGTATTCTGTTAACAATGTTTGTGCATCCAATGTTAAAAATTTTTTTTTGTTGTATCAAGGCGGGGAATCTTACTTCTTAGTAATATTATAAATGCGAATGTTTAGATGGATAGATGTTTGTTTGAAAATATCTCCAAAGCGGCTGCATGGATCTCGCTGAAATTTGGCATTGATGTAGAAGAACACATAGGCTACTAATAAAGTGTTTTTTTCATTTCCGCATGAACGGAGACGCGGATGAAAGCTAGTTATAAAATAATTATCATACAAACTGTAGTAATGTAATATGAACACAAATTTTACTTAAATATAATAATAGTTTTTAAACACTTTTTCGTTTGCGTGTACTCCTGCAATCCGACTAAACAACCCTCTTCCTCGGGCAACGTAAATAAACATAATTTTATTGCCCTTCGTCTTATCTAGCCGGTTGGCATTTGCTTTGACTCATTCTATTGAGTCATGCTCTAGTAATTAATAAAGTACGGTTGCAAGTAATATCTCTCACCATCTTTCTATTATGGTTCTTATACATGATTCTACATCATCATCAGCTCACTATACGTCCCCACGACAATAGTCTACCACCCTGGTCCAGTGCCGGTTGGTTGACTGCACAGATGTCTTTGAATTTCTTCTCAGATATGTGCAGGTTGCATCACGATGTTTTCCTTCAGCGTAAAAACGAATTTGTTTAATTTTGACCAGGATTTTTTTATATAGTTGCTATAAGTTGAAAGAATTCTAGTAACTCCCTTTTTTAAAGTATTGTTTAGCATGTTGAAATTCACAATAATACTGTGAAAACATTACGCGTTATAACGTTTATTTTGCTCGTGATGTTTCATAAATTATTCTTACGACAAACAAGGTCAGTCGGATATTTATACCTGCTTCATCGAAGGTCATGTGAATGTCGAAAAAAAAACTTTTTACCTGATTTTTAAAGAGTCGATCACATTGATAGTCAATCGACCGTTGTCTTGTATCTACGTCCGTAAGTTAATAATACTCTACAAAAAAAGGCAAAGGTAACATTTTATTCTGCCAATGTTTATCAATACAATACTAAAATCGATATGAAGTTCTAATAATCGATCACAATTAAATCGATAATAGCCCACTGTTGAGTCATCTCCTCGTTCATTCCGATCACGATGTTTCATCGTTATCGAATATCGTTGAACTGTAAGGATTCGTATTCTAGTGACAACAGCCAAGTCGTGTGCTTGATGCATACTTGTCGTCTATACGTGATATAAGCTGATTAGATATAATAGAGTCAGTTTCACACCTTTTCACATAAGTGACTCAAAACAAGTTTAAGTGCATTTGTCAAAAAAACAAAAAAAAAGAAGAGTTACATATAATAAGAAAGGACAACTTAAGACAACTATTTGACCTTCTGTTTTGTGCTTCGCAAATTATTCTATATTGCAGGATTGTTAATTAAAAACACAGTCACGTAAATGTGACAGATTAATATTTCGTAGAATAAAATGACACCTCATTCTTCAAAGTCGGTCACAACTCGCAATAAAAGAACGGATAAAGAATTAAATTCGCTATCCACTAACGTTCCAATATTGTACAGGAAACTGTCACCAGACATTATCTTATGCTACTGTGAGAAGTTTTCAATCTTATTGTATTGAGTATAATTTCCTTGAAATGGGTAGTAAATAAATGTCCTCCACTGTACATAAACAATACATACTCTTCCATATAAACAGACGTATTCTGATAAATTTGAAAGTAGCGAAATGTACAGACACATTTAAAGTTCATTTTCCCAACTATTGATCGATAAAAATACATCACCGTACCGTTTGTAACGTCTCGCTAAAATATCGCGGCATCGAACTCACGTACTGGCAAATTGAATGCTACACGTGCGACTAGAATGTTAATGTCCTGTCTGATTTACTAAAGCTCTTCGATACACGATAAAAGAATTTTATGAACCATTGCGCACTTCTTTTACCGTGAGTTTCCGAAACTAAAATTCCAGTTTAGAACATCGTTTCTGTTTTGTCAGATATGTTTTATACAGAGATATCGGACTCAGAAACCAACGGTTGGTTACTTAGAGGCAAATCAGTGAATGACATACTTGTCTAACAACTCATAACGTGTTTAAGGACATTTTTATTTAAATAAAATACATACAAATATCAACCGTAATGACTAAGTTATAGTGGTTATAATACAATGTAATAGTTTGTTTATTTGTGCAGCTTGCGACTTCTTGGGAAGTTCTTCTGAGTCATACTGAGATGTTGCATGCGGGATTCCACTCACAATAAATACGTTGACCTGCTAATGCAAGGTCTCGACAGATTGGCGGCGCGAATCGCAACGTTTCACTGCCGTATTGAGACGTTTAATGCTCACTCAGAGACTGCTCCTTTAGTGTGGATTCCTGTCACTGTATTGAATCTTAAGATAATTAAGTAACCTTGAAACGACATCTTACTAATATTATAAAATCGAAAGTTTGGATCTATGAATGGATGGAAAGTTTTTATAAAATACTAGCTGTTGCCCGCGGCTCCTTCCTCGCAGAATTTAAAAAAAATACTTAGTATCCTATATCTATGCCTAATTTCAGCTAGATACCTTCATCCATCCATCCATCTTAACTTTCTCATTTATAATATTAGTATGATTTTTAAAATGGCTGCATGGATCTCGTTGAAATTTGGCATGGATGTAGAACATAGTCTTAAAGAACACACGGGCTTCTAATTAAGTTCTAATTCCACTCGGACGGAGTCGCGGGCAACAGCTAGTAATAATCTGGTAAATGCGCGTTTTTTTTTTATTGGCAAGCGATCGGCAGCACACATAAAGTTGTCAAGTACAATCCACCTGTCTGTATGGATACCTCATTTGCACACAGTGGTTTTGCATGACTTTTGTAAAGGAAGCGTGTTCATTTATATAGTTCTTTGTATTTTGTATGGTCTATTGTAAGCTGACTTTTTGATGACAACTTCCATCCACACAACCTGGATGGCTGGCATTCCACAACGGTGCGATTCTCGCGCAATTTTTTTATCTCGCACAGCCGCGTTGTGGAACGGTCTGTTCAAACCAATACGACTTAGGGACCTTCAAGAAGCCAGAATACCATTCCTTAAAGGCCGGCAACGCATTGCAGTTCCTCTGGTGTTGCAGTTGTCCATGGTTGTCGTTGATCACCGTGGTGTTCTCGCCGCTCGTTTGCCCCCTTCTCTTATATAAAAAAAAAACTTGGTAATACTTGATTTTAAATCTTTTTGAGGGTTTTGGCGCAATTTTGACATAGGTACTTCCTTCTATTGCAATTTAAAAAGACTGAAGTAAACGACTGCAATCTTACTTCTTATTAATATTATAAATGCGAATGTTTATAATTTAGATGGATGGATGTTTGAAGGTATTTCCAGAACGGCTGCACGGATCATGTTGAAATTTGGAATAGATGTACAACACTGCTTGGAAGAACACATAGGCTACTAAATAAGTTTTTTTTAATTCGCGCGGACGGAGTTGCGGGCGATAGCTAGTAACTAATTGTAGTGGTGTTTGCAAGTTGAATCAATACCCGCTCGTGTGGCGAGGCCTTAAATGTGCAAAATTAATAAATATGACCTTGAATAACAATTAACGGACTTGGCAATTGTCTTTATGCTATTTATATTAGTTAAAATAATTAGTCTGTTGAGTTTGTATTTAAGAGGGCGATGAAAATAAATGATAAAATTACATAAATAGCCTATGTGTGCTTTCAGAGTATGTTCGATATGAATGCCAAATTCTATCGAGATGCGTTCAGCCGTTTTGGAGATACTTTCAAACAAATATCCATCCATCCATCCATCTGAATATTTGCATTTATAATATAGGTAAGAATAGTAAGATTTAAAAAAGCCGTGTCCAACTTCGCGTGCATCTATTTCTTCAAAAAGTTTTTGCTTCATGTCTTAATCTAATTATATTTGTATTTAGTTTTGTGTAAATTGTCTAAAATATGACGATCTGTC